AGCCAACAAAAATAAATTGGCAAAACAAAATGTATATGTTGATTGAAATGATGTCTTTATTATTATTGTGATCACTTGTTAACTTATTTAAGGAGATAAAACAATGAGATAAGTGTTGATAACAGCTGAAAACAACAGCTTCATGACAGCTGTGATACTTGGAGTAAACCACATTTTCATTTTAAGGAAAGGGAGTTACTGCGAGGCAACACAGATTTGATTCAGTCGATGAAGACTGAAAATCTTCACCTGAAACATCAGAAATTACTCTAAGATGTCTGAATTTCTCTCACATGGTTCTCTCAAAGAACCTGCTGTTACAACATTATAAACACATGAGGTGCTAAAGGGTCATACAAGTTCATTTAAACCTGTTACACTCAAGTTTATTCATGTAAATAGATGTGTAACAATAGAGACAATTAACAGAGAAAGTGTTGGTTTTGTAGGTTAGCATAAGAATATGCTCAATCCTATGCAATATTAAGGCAAATGTATATAAATTATGAAAAAATAAGGTATTTTCATTTGATGGTTATTTTCTGGTATGTTGCAGTATGTGTTTGGACGTCCAGTTGCCTTCTTTTACAGGGTACTTGTTTCCATAACTTTGTGTCACTGACATTAAACTGGTGCTGTTATCTATCCCATGATATTGATGCTCAAAGTTGAGGAAAGGAAAAAGAGTTGATTACATTTGAAAGAAAACAACAGCTGAAAAAATCATTTATAAGTTTGTTCAATGAAAAAACCTTGATAAAAACAAAAAAGAGGAAAACCGAGGGAGGTTAGAGACATGTAGGCCGAATGGTCCATGTTCTCCTCCTCCATTGTCGCTGCGGCCTCTCGTAGCTGTGGTCGTAAGGACTCTGGTGCCTGTCGCGGCGGCATCCTAAAACATATCTATATATTTAAAAAATAAAAATAAAAAAAATACAGTAGTGTAGTGCTGTGTTCATTTATTGAACTCAAGAACAGCAACAGGGGCGTACAGAGAGCAGCACCATGCAGCTTCACTTCTCTTAGAGACATAAGTACTGATGTCAAACTGAACACTGGAGTAAACAATCATGCTAGGGGAGGTAGATGGCGGCCTCTGGAACTGTTTCAGAATCGGTAAGGATTGAGAAATAAGGTTGAAATTAATATCATTATAACCATAGGTATGTATAATAAAGGCTAGAAGTCTTAAGGCGGGATCACCCTTCGGCCATCTTGATACGGGCAAGCTCTCTAGCAGAACCTGTGGTACGTGAAGGAAGGTGAGTGATCTGCACAAACGTAAATACTCTTATCTCATTGATATCTTGAAGGATTTACAAACGGTTTGGTTTCTTACAGATGTTATTAACGTGGCTGCAATTCAAATGACAAAAATACAAATAAAACTGTAATAGTTGTAATAAAACTGTTGCTGGCTGTGAGAGTGTAACATAATTATCCATAAGTGCAGTGTTATAACTACACCTCTGATGTTTATGACAAACCAAACCGTTTGAAAATCAGTAGAAAATTTAGCAAGTTATGGTTATTTAAGAAGTACATGCACCACTAGAACACTATGTTATGGGTGAGTGAGTGGACCATACCAAGATGGCCGCCAGTGTGGCCATGCGATTCCATTGGCCGGCAGCATGGACAACACATCTAGCCTTTACGATCCATATCTATGATTGCAACCGTAATGATTTCCTTGATAACAATATACATTAAAATATGTATGCAACTAGCATCATATTGAACAATCAAATAAGTGCTCATCTTATTGAACCAAATCATGTTAGGTGTGATATGTTTGACAGCTTGATGAAGGCTTGTTGCTGATACATATCACAGTTTATTTTAAAGGTCCCAAATGACCATGCCATGACAATACAGGCTATTCCACAATTTTAAAGGAGCCTTGTAGCTTTTTGAGATTTTTTAATATAATAAAAACAACACTGAACTTTTGCCTAGCCTTCATCACCTGTTTCATTGTCCACTTCGCCTCATCCGGTGGACAAGACTCTTTCATTTGTTTCCTGAGAAAGCTGTGAGCCACCTCGAATTCAGAGTCTGCAGCAGGTGTCTTGGTCAGGTCAAGTAAAGGCTTCACCTTGACGACATCCAAGAATGCGGCTTGAGTGGGATCCAAGGCATTGAGTGCTTCCATCAGCTCACGATTATGTTTTCCGAATCGATTTTTCATTTCCCCACATACTGAATCAATGCAACTGTAATAAATCCTACGCAGCTCTGTTTCATCATTACAATCTGCATGTGTGCTGATTTCTTCAACCACATCGTCAGCAAGGGCAGAGTTTTGTGTGCGTCTTCTCTTTGATGGCCTCGTTGTGACACTCTCACAATGCACTAGGATTGCCTGGAATTCTGTCTCAGTGCAGATGTTCCAGGGCAGGTGCATGAGCTGCAAACCTAACAGAACAGACACCCCGCCTTATTGTTACTGTACTGATTACAACTAAATCTACAGTGCAGAATGGCATGACGAGACACAGGGAAATGCAACAAAACAAACAAATGCAGCACTAAATGCACCCGAGGCAGACCCAGAACCCGACCCTGGATAAGTGGAAAAAAATGGATGGATGGATTTTTAAATTCTTGACATAAAAACAGAAGCTCAGTGATACATTAGCAAATAAATAAAGCGAGCTAAAGCTTCGGCATGCTAAGATATTGCTTAAATATACAGATACATATAGTCAGCTGGTTAAAAAAAAAGTCAACCATTATCAGTTCAGACAGATAATACTTCTTTTTTTTTTAACTGCTGGTTAGCTATTATGCTACTGTATTAGATAATGGTGCTCATGATTTATCATTATGTTAAAATTAGCAAGGCTAGTGTCATAGATGACTTATATGATTCTGAAGTCAACCCTAAAAACAATTTGTATATGTATATTCCTACTAAAAAAAACAACAACAACAAAAAACGGTGGCTTACATACAGTGTTAAAATGTGATATTAACAAACCTGAAACCCATTTGATATTCTTAGACCAGTAAAAAGGATTTTAGCGCTATTTGAAGATCAACATCATCCCAGAAAGGAGCTGAAATGAAAACAAAATGGCCAGAAGAATTATGGTTGGCGGGGCCTCATACCTAGTTTTATCCTACACACCAGCTGATTGTTATTTTAAAGTGAATCCTAACGGGGGCAGTTCACAGAAACGTGTGTTTTGCAGCAGTTTCCTTCGCAACTCATTCAAATGACGGGGCTTTTATTTTGTACAGGAACATCCGCCGGAGCGCTCGGACTTTTGTTTTGGAAAGCCGCTCCCAGCGGCCGCCATTATTCTTCGTGACTTGACGGTCGACATAAAGACGGTTTAACACTTTTAAACATTATATTTGTGGGTAAACCGCCACATTCTCAGTCCGTTTGGTGCGTTCTGTTGAATTAGCGGCGTACCCAATGTACAGAATGGAGAAACGCTCCGATACTGCAGGTACGTTGCTAAGCTAACGTTAGCAAGCTAACAGTAGCTGCCGCTGAGTGTGGGGCTCAGAAAATAAGATGCAACGGAGAGCACGCTGTTTGCTGTGAACCGCTGTATAACATGAGCAAAGCTACGTCTGTCCGGTCAATTGTGAGGAATTGTGGTAGTTAGCTAGCTAGCAAGCTTTACAGGGCTGTCCAGGCGGTTGGGTTTCAAATTAACTTATACATCCATCCATGCTCGGATCGCCCGCTGCATCAGGTTCTATCAGCTACAGTGAGGTAGTGGTGTGATGGGTGAACCATCTGCTTAAAGTTTGAAGCTAACTTCTGCACTTTGGCGCCCATTCTCTTCATCTCTTTTCCAAACCCGCTGCAGCTTATCTGCAGCCTTCAAAGCATGTCTTTAGCATCTACTGTATATGCCCGTCCGCACTGCAGCACCACCTACAGCTACATGAAGCTCCACCTCACAGTCCAGCTCTCTGTTGGTGGCAGTTTGCATGATCTCTTTGATTCTCAAGCAGTTTCTTGCCATTTTATTTGCTCCTGTCATGTTTTTACTCACTGCTGCTCAGTTTTTGTTTTTTGTTTTTAATTAAAAAGCCCTGGACCTGTATGGAAACAGCACAAGCAGCCAGAAGCAGAGAGAACCCAAACATGTCTTCTGTGCAGTATGGCACCGTTGTTATGCCATCAATCAAATTAAGATGGATTTCTTTAAATTATTCTTTTCATGCAAAAAACAAAACAAACAAACAAAAAACTGAACAAACCGAATCAACACAAGCAGTGTTTTCCAAACATCCAGATGTGTGGACATACAGGGGTTTGGATGAAACTTCATTTCAAGCTTAGATTTGATTTAGTTTCTCATCAGAACTGCACACTCTCAGTGGTTCCTTCATGGACTTACAGGAAGCTTAAAATCTGATGATTATTTCTATTTTTACAGCTTCTGGTGCTGATTTGTGGTTAGTTTTTTTATTTAGGTATTTTTACAAGTGAACATACTTTTTGGCTGGTTTGGGGGATTGTAGGGTTAAGCAAATTCATTATCATTATCATTCATAGATTTACATTATATTTACCTTTTTACAAACAAGGGATGGGGTTGGTAATATCAACTTTTAGTTCTAAAAAGGTATCAAGTGCAGAACTGTAGCTCTTTTCCCATTGTGCAACAGGCTCAATGTAACAGTGTCACTTGTAAGCTTTTAAATACATATTTTTTCAACTCACTTTCAGGAGGAGGACTTCCCCTGGCGTCCCTTCGCCTCATGGCTTCTCCTCTGCAGCTGACCTACTCGTACATATGGCAGGTCATACGGCAGCGAAAGGTGAAACAGTACTGGAAAGTGGAGGAATTTGTAACCATGGTGACGCAGACTGTTCCTGAGGTCCTGAGTTTTAAGCAGACTGCCCAGCTTATCTTGGGTTTGAGAGCAAGGGTGAGAGTTTGTTTTCACTTGTGTATGAAAAAGTGCAATGTAATTTGCGTGAGAAGCAGATTTTAAAGCAGTGCATTTAACTATCCATCCATTATCTATACACCGCTTAATCCTCAGTGGGGTTGCGGGGGGCTGGAGCCTATCCCAGTCAATCGCAGGGCTACACACAGAGACAGACAACCAAGCACACTCACATTCACACCTACGGACAATTTAGACTCACCAGTTAACCTCGGCATGTTTTTGGACTTGTGGGAGGAAGCCGGAGAACCCGGAGAGAACCCACACTGCACAGGAAGAACATGCAAACCCCACGCAAAAAAATCCTGGGTGATGCGAACCGGCAACCTTCTAGCTGCGAGGCGACAGTGCTAACCACCGCTCCACCTTACAGCCGTGCATTTAGCTAGAGAGAGATCAAACTGACAGACACACTTTACAAGAATCAGGCTTGGTGTTGATTAATTGCCTCTTTAACACTGAAGTACATTCTCACTTTGTGCTGGTTATGTTGTGTTGTTCATTGAAGTTTTGTGTTTTCAAAGGTTTTACCTTCTCTGGTGTCCAATCTGTGCTCTTGTACTATAGATTATTTTGGATTTGCTTCACAAGGAAGGCCAACCAGATGCCAAGGCTATTCAAGCTCTTATCAATAAATTGAAGGTCACCACATCCTCAGGGGTAAGCATGCAAACTTGTTTCTCCTTAGGAACATGTACAGTTGCACCAGCTTTATGAAAGCAGGTTAAAATGTAGAGTTTTTATTGTATGAACTATATTTGCTGTCCTCTGTTTACAGAAGGATGCAGAAGTGGAGAAATCCCAAACAAACTTCATGGTGCTGGTCCAGAATCTGCTTAAAAACCCTGCTGAGCGGAAACGCTTCTTCCAGGTGTCCACATCTGTCTTAATGTCATATTACTCACAGTTAGTGGATCTCATCATGCAAATGTTTTTTGTGCTTTTTGCACATTTAAATGCGGTAAAGCTTAGCTATGTTCAATGCCCAGCCTGTCCTGAAACTTTACCTGTACATTTGGCTGCATTAAAGCACAATGCATGTGAAGATATAAGACATTTAATTCTTAGACCTTTCCTTATTAACAAAGTGTTCCCAATTTGAAAGTCATGCATGGTTTAACGTGTTTCTGTCTCTGCAGGAAGTGTTTCCTGTTCAGTACGGCACAAAGTTTGACACGGCACTGCAGACTCTGACTGCAGGCCTGGTGTGCAAGCTGGAGCAACTTCTTCCTGTTCCCAATTTGTCCCAGGTATGCACATCTGACGTCACTCGGTTATGATATTTACCCTGGGGCAGGCACAGTAGAATGGGCAACTGGTTGGTAAGGTTAGTTTCCTGGTGCTTAATGGGCCCCCAGGCTAAGTAATTCAAGATCATAGTATCGATGAGCTCAGGTGTTAGTGGCAGCGGAGAAATTACAAAAATAAATTCGCATTTTATCGTACCACCTCTGTCCCTAGTTCGTTTATGATGCATTTTGCGATTTCTTATGATCCCACCTTTTTTTTTTGTCACATGCTGCAGCACTGTGAAGCACACACAGAAACTCTTAGTAAGAGTGATGGCGAGAACTAAATGTCCAAAAGTGCGATTACACTTCAATAGAGTCGATGCTGACAGTTGCTACAAGTGCAACAAGTCTTTTGCATGTAAGGACAAAAAAAGAAAAAGCAGTGTGTTAAAACATTCAGTAAAACTTGATCACATACAGGCAGAGAAATTCAGTTTTCAAGTTTAAATGTTGATGTTGGGGGAGGTTTCAAAGGCATGTTTTTTTTTTTCTTCCGAAAAATTAAAAAAACAGAAAGAAATGTCAGATTTTCAATTTGTCCACGGTCCTCCCACTACTTCTCTGTGACATGCTGTTCTGTTGTGAAATTGACCCATGTATAAACCTAAAATTGTCATATTTCATTGAAACCACTGTATTTTACATGTGATATTTAAAAATGTGTAGGGTCTGTAGGGTCACAGGGGGGCTGGAGTCTATCCCAGCTGACTTAGGGCGAAGGCAGGCGAAACCCTGGACAGGTCGGTCCACCACAGGGCTACACTTAGAGACAGACAAGTACACTCACATTCACACCTTTGAGGCGACAGCACTAAGCACTGCATCACTGTGCTCCCCTTGCAGAACCCAAATTCTGCACTCCTTGGTGCAGCAGGGAAGCCATGACTGACTCAGCTGCAGTCAACAGTCAGCAGAAATTCAGGGATTTTTCAACTGAACTGCAGGCTGTACTCACACAAAACACATAGGAGTCAGGAATGAAAACAACCTAAAATATTAAGTAGAAAAATATCTATAGTAGTAGAGTCACTATTTTTTCTCCAGTATTTTTTCCTGTTGTAACAAGCCTTATAGAATAATGTGTGCTCTGTGTATGTGGTGGCTTTATACATGATTTTTTGATGTTTTATGAAATCACATAAAATGTCTGATCTCAGAGGGTAGAATGAAATCTGCACGTTGTATTCATTACTTCCCTTACTTGCCTCTCTACTTCAGCTGGGTGCCATGATCTCCACGGAGCCCGCTGTCCTGGAGGCGTGTGGAGGCTTCATTCCTGACCCGGGTGACCTGAAGACTCTCCTTCTACACCAGCAGGCCAAAGGGCTCATTGGTGTTAAAGGTATACTTCAGGTCGTCATTTGATGAAAGATGGAAAATAAGGAATATGTCACTAAGTAGTAAAAACTCATATCAAAACATAATTTGTGTAAACAAGGTCAACAGACATTAGATCGGTGTATGGGTGACTAAACCTCTTAAATGCAGTGAAAAAGAAATTTACACAGCCTCTCCTTTCTCTGCAGCAACCATCTCGTCTTCGGTGGGTGACTGTGTGCTCTCTTCACTTGCCTTTCGGCCCAAACCAGTAGAACCACCGCTGCCGCCGCCACCACCACCAGAATCACCAAAGCCATTAGAGGTCACCTTCAGCGAAACAAGCCAAGCCTCCCTCAGTGACGCTGAAGACTTGGGCATGATGTCAGATGACTCTGACAGTTCAGCAGCTCCTGTTCTTGGACCTCAGCAAGGAGGAAAATCCAGCCATGAAGCAGCTGTTAGCATTGCAGCAAAAAATAAGAGCATGACTGTAACACCTCAGAAAGAGAATCTGCTGCCAGAGAAGAGTTCTACGCCGGTTCAGTCAGCCACACCTCTGCAAAGCAGAGAGAACGAGGGAGCACCACCACCAGAAAAACCAGACCCACCACAACTGCCTGTAAAATCAATCCCTTTCAAGGTAGTTCCAGTGCCGATCAAAACAGTCTCCCCCTCTCAGAATGCCGGCAGTGCAGTAACAAAAGATGGCCAAAAGCCCCAGACTCAACGAGTCACACTGCATCAGTGGGTGTCACAGATTGCCACCAACTCACTGGCACTCCCAGCCTTACCACCGCTTCCTCCTGCCAGGCTCAGTGCTGTAGATGACATAAGGCCAAGCATAAGAAGAAAAAAGCCATTCAGGCCTCTAGCTGACAGATTTACTTGCAGCGTGTGTGATAAGAGCTTCCCCTACCAGTCCAAGCTGTTGGACCATGAGCGCATTCACACAGGAGAGAAACCATTCTTGTGCACGGCATGCAACAAAAGTTTCCGAACACAGGCTTTCCTCAACAACCATCTGAAGACCCACAGCACGACGCGGCCCTATGCTTGCGGCCAGTGCGGCAAGTGCTTCATAAAGCTGCAGAGTCTGACGAAGCACATGCTCGCCCACAGCGGCCAGAAGCCCTTCTACTGTAACATCTGCAGCAAGGGCTTCACACAGTCCACCTACTTCAAAAGACACATGGAGTGTCACACCAGCCAGATGACGTTTCCATGCAAGCAGTGCAACAAAAGCTTCCCGACGGCATTCAAACTGTCAAACCACGAGCGCTGGCACACCAGAGATCGTCCTCACATGTGCGAACGTTGCGGGAAAAGATTCCTCGTCCCCAGCTTGTTGAAGAGACACATGGGCTACCATATCGGTGACCGCCAGTATCTCTGCTCCCAGTGCGGGAAGACCTTCGTTTATTTGTCTGACCTGAAGAGGCACCAGCAGGACCACGTGCCCAAAGCAAAGATCCCATGTCCAGTCTGCCAAAAGAAGTTCTCCAGCAAGTACTGCCTGAGGGTTCATCTGAGGATCCACACCAGAGAAAGGCCCTACCAGTGCACTATATGCGACAAGACCTTCACTCAGGTCGGAAATCTGAAGGTCCACATCAGGTTGCACACCAACGAGCGGCCCTACAGCTGCGATGTGTGCGGGAAGACCTACAAGCTGGCGTCCCATCTGAACGTCCACAAAAGGACTCATACATGTAAGAAGCCCTGGACGTGCGACACGTGCGGGAAAGGATTCTCGGTCCCCGGCCTTCTGAAGAAGCACGAGCAGCTGCACACGAGGGATGCCAACCCTGACTTTACCGGTAAACGGAGGCACAAGGGAAAGCACAAGAAGCAGTCGCTCAAGAGGAAGTATGACGAGGAAGACGAGGGCAGCGATGATTATTAACCAAAGAAGCACTTGGTTATGAGTAGAGAGGCTCAGATCAGGTTTATGCTGATCACTGACAGAACAGGTTAATCTAGAAAGCTACAGAACAGGCAACCATGTAGTTTTCAAAGTTGGACTTGCTACCTTGTGGTTGATATTAAGCGACCGTGTGGTTTGGCCAGTGAAAACACATTTTGAGTTAGAATTTGACTTATACGGTGTATCAGCAGGCTCTGACCATTGCCTGACCAGCTGCAACTAACAAAGTCCATTGTTTTAGTGCTCTTTTTCATATAATAAGGTGACTTAACAAAGCGAGTTTAGGTAGTAAAGCTACCCAAAGATGTTAGATTTTGAGAAAAATAAGGTAGCAATAGAGCATTTCTGATTACTTTCTCGTCCATTTTTTGAGTTCATCCTTATATATGGTGATCATTTCCTTTACAAAGAAAATGATGCTTTTTGAAAGTTGAGAAAATGTTTTCCATGCATCATGCTTGTCAAGAGGCTTAATATAGCGAACGTTCAGTAGATGACCATCATGTAAACAATCCAAGTATTTCAAAGCATGTGATTGTAGATCATTTATCTCCTGTGTAATAAAATGCTGTAGTGTCTCTATGAAACATTGAAATATGTTACTGTGTCCGTGTTGTGGAAATTGGAGTAATTCAAAACTACTTTCACCACACGCTTTTCTTATGCAACTCTGAACTGTAACCATTTCACCAGCTCTGCTTTTTTTTGTTTAGGGTGAAAGAGGCTCTTTTGTCTTTATCACTATGTAACATTTACAACTTTAATGCAGGTTGAGTGCAACCGTTTGATAATATGCAGGTGTGTGATGAGGTTGTGCCGTGATTCCCATTTTTCCTTTACTTACTGTAGTGTGAGCAACCATGTATATAACCCACTAAGTCGTGTACCTGTTCTCTGTATTTTTGTTGTTTTTGATGCTTTTCAAAAAAAAATAAATGCACTTGGCAAAGAACTGTTTTCTTCCTGGTGCATCATGTGAAATTCTAGAGCACTGCACACCTGAGCAAATTCACCATTATGAGATGGGAAATAGATAGAGATTTGTGATTAGTCAGCTGTGGTGGGGGAAGCATTCAGACCTATTACACTTACAGTCATGCCAGTTGCATTGAAGTCAATTAGTATTATTCGAAAAAAGTGCTTAACCCTAATCCTGGGATCACCAATAATAAACAACTTAAAGAAACAACCATCATTGCAAAATATTAACTTATTTTGTCTGAAAACATCAGTTATTTAATTAATCTATTATATATTATTGCAACTTTTATCCCAGTTGAATGAAATTAATAAATAGATTTCCTTATAAGTCATATGTGCAAATAAACAATTTAATTGTAAATACATTTTTTATGTATTATTGCAGAGCCTACCAAATACATTAAGCCAGACATGTTAAAAAAAAAAAAAAGTGCCAATAAACGTCCTAAAAATGTTAATTTTTTGCAATAAAACTAATAAGGCAGTCTTTTTTAAAGCCGTATTTAACAGGAAACTTGATTTTATTTTATTTTTTACTTGGCTCCATTGTAAATGAGGCCTCCTTACCTCAGTGTACTCTGAATTTAAATAAAGTTACAAATAAATTACTATTATTTATAGTAGTTAGATAGTCAGATAGACTGTGAACGGATTTTGCAACTATTTTTTATTTTCTATATTTTTGGGATATTAAGTTACTGGGGAGGTTCTGTCACCGACATTACTATTCAATTAAATTTATGAAAGCAAGTATTTTCAAGGCACACTTTTACATATAGTGATAGCACTGAAAGCCATATAAATCACTCGCTGTAACATTATTGTGAGTTTTTAAAAATATATTTATTTTGCAATTTTAAAATTGATTACAACAATCCGAAAATTGCACAATTTAGAGTTTAAAATCTAAATGCTGATTCAGTTTTCGCCCCCAATCGCAAGTATAGTCCAGCACATGAAAGCACATTTCCACTGGCCCGGCACGGCACGCCTCTGCCCCGCTATGCGAGCCAAACCGTTATCACACACACCTCCCGTTCATCTTCACGGCCGCCGTCTCCGCCCACAGCCGAGCCCAGCCGAGCCGAGCCGAGCCGTATCCAGGCAACGCGCCACTGACTGGCTCGAATTACATGACGTGTGCAGGCGCCGGGCGGAGGGAGCGCCATTTTGAAAAAAAAAAAAAAAGAAAAGAAAAGAAAAGTGAAAACACTCCACAGGAACGGTTTCTATTTCTGCTTTTCTCTCGGTTTCAGAAGCAAAAAGGAAGGAAAAAAAAGAAGATGGAGCCTCAAATGAACTGGTCCCAGGCGGAGACCCGGGCGCTGCTCGACGTGTGGTCGGAGGAGAAAATCCAGAGGGACCTGGAGGAGTCCTTCAGAAATGAGAACGTTTACAGAGAAGTGTCAGGCAGGCTGGCCGCCATGGGCATGAGCCGCTCTGCAAAACAGTGCAGGGAGAAGATAAAGAAGCTAAAGCAGGAATACAGGAAAACGAAACAGCACGGCGAGAGGAGTGGCGCCGTCAAGAGGACCTTCAGGTGGTACGACGCCATGGACGCCATCTTGAACGACAAACCCGCTGCGACAGACGAGTCGGCCGCTATGATACTTGAATTCATGATTTCAGACGTGGAGACAGGTCGGTTTTATTTGCAGTATGTGGTACACAACTTAAAATACAATAAATAGTAGTGCAAAATGCCACATATACTAACCACAGTCCACAAATAAGTCTCATAAAACCTTTTAGAACATGGGCGTCTGGTGTTTTGCATGCTAGTTCGATGTCACACTGTCATGGTTTAGATATAATGGAGCCTCTAATCTTAGTAACACCTGTGCTGTGTCTCCTGCGACACGTCAAAATTAGCCCTTTCTACTAATCTGGTAGAATCTAAATGTACCAGCTTCGTGTGTGAATGAGCGTCCCAGTTGTGTTTTTATAAAAGTCGCAACAACAGCGACACCAGATCTGACCGAGTAACATTTCGCCGTCACTTTCATTCAACTGCAGCTAGTCACAGTGAACCACGACTACAAGTGCAAAAGGCAACGTGCGTCTGCCAATATCATAAAACATCTTTCTGTTTTACATTGTACGACAACTTCACATCTGTAATGAACTTTACTGCAGGTAAAAACACACAAACTGCTTATGAACAATAATGAAGGTAACCTTTTTGGTTTCCCCACAAGACGTTCACATGAGCTGAAGTTCAGTTTGTTGCTTCCAGCTGTGTGGAGGAGTCTTCTAGTTTATTAAATACCAGCAGCATGAAAGAGCAGCAGGATCCATGTGAGTGCCTTCATTGCAAGAGAGTTGAATGTTTTGCACGTGTGGAACAACAGTAGCTTCACTAAGCACTTAGAAATTAAACCTGACATGGAGACAAGATCGATCAGGCTTCAACAACACTTCACGCTGTGTGAGTTTCTCAGACACACAGGTGAGTGCTGCAGTTAAAGGTGGAGTTCTGGGCTCCATCACAGATGGCGGGATATTTTTGTTTTACAGTTGGCATCGTGGAGTTCGATTATTTATTTATTTATTATTTATTACTTGTCTGCACTTTGTCCACGTCCATCCATCCATTATCTATACACCGCTTAATCCTCACTAGGGTCGCGGGGGGCTGGAGTCTGACTGAAGGCAGGGGACACCCTGGACAGGTCACCGGTCTATCACAGGGCCACACTTAGAGACAGACAACCAAGCACACTCACATTCACACCTACGGACAATTTAGAATCACCAATTAACCTCAACATGTTTTTGGACTGTGTGGGAGGACTTTTTTTTATTTTCTATTATTTTTTTATTGTATGCTTTTATCTCTTACACACTTATATCATTCTAATCTATTCTGGTTTTTAGCTGTTTTACTCAGTTTTAATCTAACTTACTTTGTCGGTACTGTTTTTGATTAATTTCATTTATTAATTACATTTTGATTACAGAGTTTATTTCAATTCCATTTCAATCTACCTGTAAAGCACTTTGAATTACCTTGATGTATGATAAAGGTGCTGTGTAGATAAACTTGCTCACTTGTGCAAATTTTTGTGTAGTATACATTACTTGATGTGCGGTCTAATCTCATATGAATGCCACATTTCATGCGTACTGTGGTTTTCTCTGTCGCTGTGGTGGCAATATCTGAATGAAGCCATGAACAACATGGTGCCTGAGTAACGAAATGTTGTCACTCATGTCTGACTCTTTAGATTCTATTGTTTGGCTTTGTTCTATACATTTTAGCTTCTGTCACTATTTTAGTGGTTGTTCTGAGAAATCTAGACACTATTGATGTTCATTCACAAAGCCAGCAGCCCGTATTTGATCAGTGTGCAGGATACTGCCAGCTTTGATCTGGCTTGGATGCCATTAAACAAACACACCTGACGTTACACAGCAGCTATTTATACAGCACAATATTTGTGAAAAGTCTGAGAACGTGCCAAATGTGATTCTGTTTGGAGGACTGCAGTAGCAAAACTGACCAATATCTATGCAGAAAAACAACCATCACACGTGTAGTTTATCTCTGTTATAAAACATTGTGTAGTGAGTGTGTTGTGTTGCCTTTTTTGTATAAGATTCACACTGCCCAACTTAAATGAAGTGGAAAAAAGTCAGATTGATGCAAAAACAGCTTTTACTGGTACCACATCCTCTTGTTTTGGCTTTTATTGAATGAGAAAATCAAACCGGCCTTATTATTTGACTCAACAGCAGCAAAACAAATAATGTTATATTGTAGTGAGTTATAGCATCTATTAAAAGAGTTCTTTATTTTTTCTTGCTCTCGTCTAAAGCACTATGCGACTGATCATTTTAGCTTAAGGTGTTTTAGTCTTTATGTAACTACAGTATGTTAGAAATCTGCACAGACCCGGAGCGACGATGAATGTTGCTGGAGATGATTATTAAAACTCCATATTGGCTTTTTCAAACATGTAATACTGAACATTGCTGACCTTATCAGTCTGTTCACGTGATGACATTCTGTCATTCAGACATTGGCCACTTTCACATTAAAATTCCTCACTAATTCATTCAGATGTGTAAATGCTTACAAGTTGTCTTTCTTTGTTTATGCTCATATTGATCCTGCTGCTGTTACATCAGGTGACATAGCACTGTAACAACTCACCTTTTTGAAAGAAAGAAATACACAGTGTGATGTGCTGTTAGATCCTAACCGATCCTGTCTCCATATCAGCGATCATTTAGAATTAACTTGTAAGTAATTATTGAAGTTATTTCAGTTGTTTTTATTTACAGTAAGTAGCAGCAAATTAGCTCCTGTCAATGTTTTGTCAAAGCCTGGATTAAAATGGCTAATCTGTCCTTTTAATCTGTTGTCACCACAGGAAAGGTTTATTTTTATGGACATTTCAGTTTTTAATAGATGTGAAATTGTAGAGCAAAGCGGATAAGAAAGCTGTTTTATGATTTTTGCAGGTCAACTGTGTCTTTTGTACTCAGTGATGGTTTTGGATTAATGTTGGTGCTGAATTGTGGCAAAAGTTTTTCCCAGATTGCTTCACAAAACATGAAGTGTGTTACCTGTGTGTGCCTGTGATGTCATGCAGATCAGTATTGTGCTCTGTTGAAATAGGCAGATGTTACTAGGTCCAAGCCCATGCACCTTTTACGTAAAAGTCAGCAGAGGGCTCATTCAGGCGATAAACAGACATGTTCGAATGCTGTCAGGGAAAGGAGTGCATGTCCGAAAGGTGCTATAGTCATGTTTTAATCATACAATTACAACACCATTCCTCACTTTCAAGGTGTGCAATGTGGATGTTTAATAGTTTAGCAGAGTAGTTTCCTAAATAATTAATAAACTGTATGTACAATATTATACAGAATGTTGTTGAGGTACACAACCTGATAGGTTAGTTTAGCGTTTAACTAAGGTCTGTTCACTCAGGTGTATTTCTCTCGCAGATTCACCCGCTATGACAGACATTCATGAAAGCTGCACTACGCCGGGCCATGTTCTGCCATTTACTATGCCTGGTCCAACACCTCATCCCATGGAGAACCCACAAGTACCTGACTTCTACTCTGTTCAACCAGAAGACTGTGACGGTCCGTCTACAAGCACCGCAGTGACCTCCACTGCAGTGCAAACATCAGTCAAAGGCAAGTAGTACTGCAGCCTCTCAAGAGCAATAAATGAAGTCTTATAAAGATACATGCATAATGCAGTGTTTTTTCCTGGCTCAGAAACGGCCATGGCAGTAGGCATGATCAGTCCGCCTACAGCAAAGGCAATGAGTCCACTTTACTTTATTTGACAGAAATCTATGCCTTTTCATATATCCGGTCATTAGATAAACTAAAATGTGAGAACCCAATCAACAGGCTTATTAAAACACTGAATTGCTATTTTTCATTATCATTTTTTTTTTTTTTTATCAGTTTAGTACTTCTGATGTTTATTTAACACTAGCTAAAGCCTCTTTGGGGGCACCAAGGATTCCTCTGCAGGAAGAACTCTGGTATGTGCTAAATTAGACGTGTTGGTCCGAGGCTAAAGGCTTTTTAGAATAACTATGTGTTGGAACCTTTGGCAATCTCACGATTCAGTTTTGAGTTAATTCTTGATTAAAAACTTTTTTTTTTTAAACTTTGAGTGCCAAGCCGCGACCCTTATTTGTAAAAATACTTTTGGTATTTATGAATCAATTCAGACTGTACAGGATAAGAATGGAGGTGCATATATATAAACTTTTCCTCCACCTTTCCTTAAGAAAAAGTAGTAAAAAATCATGTTTAATGTTAATTTACTTCACTCAAGTATATGCACTCTTTATTCAAATATACTTGTTATTGTGCTGCATTGACTTGATAAATTATGTTCTGTTTCCTTCACAGATACGCCCTTGTGTTGTTGGTCAAATAGAGAGGTCCAGGCATTGTTGACACTTTGGGCAAATCCCACAGTTCAACAAGAGCTGCTCCTCAACGTGAGAAATAATAAAGTTTACACATGCCTCAGTGCCAAACTGGCTTCACTTGGATTTAACAAAGCGCCAAAGAAGTGCAGAGAGAAAATCAAAAAACTGAAGCAGGAATACAAGAGGATCAAGAACGGTCATCACATGGGTGGGAGCAGCAGTGTTTGGTTTGCCATTATGGATGAAGTCCTCAGTTCCCAGCCTGCAGCAGTGAAACATTCAGAAACAGCAGATCCTTCCTCCACAGAGCCCTCTCTGCCCACTGAGTCAGTTGTCTTGGATGTCGACACGGATGGTGAGTGGAATCTTAACTAGAAACCAAGTAAATGCAGATTTGATATTTGTCACCAGCTGAAGATTGCTCTTTTCATGCACACATTTTTCTTTTATGCCATTTCAAACGAGCCACAGCAAGGCAGGCAGAGGACGTATTAGCTCCAGAGAGTTGAAGACTTTGTGATGCCTCGGCAGAAAATACAGTGCAGGAAGTACTGCTTAAAAATGAGGAGTCTTTTCACCAGCATTCACTCCCAGGTCATGGGCCGAGATTTTATTAAGAAAAGATTCAAAGTATAGTGTTGATTCTTGGATATCAAACATAGTTATATTCCTCATTGTGCCAGAGCAAAGAGCAATTCAGTGATGGGATGTGAGCTATCTCTATCTTTTGACCTTTTAAGTAGGGGTTGATTAGTAATTGGTCTGATCAATTATTGGATCTGATGTGCAACATTTTTGCATTATATCATATCGTTTTATGGTTTTGATTTTATCAGGTTTTCCAAGAAATAACTTAATCTCATAATGAGCCTAAATGTTTAGATTTTGTCTTTAAGTTAAACATATGTTAAACATAAATAAACAGCATTTCAACAGTTTAGTGTTGAAACAACAAGTTTTTACTTCAAATAAGTATCGGTTTCCTTGATTACTGATAACTGGTGTTGATATCAGCCCCAACAAAAACAGGTTGGTCAACCTCTACTTAAACCCAGAACTCTTAACTCTTCTGCTCCCCCGTTGTTGAACTTGTCACAGTTTGTTAAAGCTGATCAAGTTTACCGCTGCTGACAAATTCTCATTGGTTCAAATGAGAAAAAAAGTACAATCAGGGGAATGTTGTATTAATATTTTTTATATTTAAAAAAAATAAAAAATCAAATACTGATCAACATCATTTTCACTGCATCTAAATTAGGTAACGTTTTGCAAAAACATTTTTCGAAATAGAGCAAGAAATGATCTGGCTAAACCTAATTTAATTTTATTGATAATGTTTAAATAACAAAAAGAGCAACATGAAACAAAAACAACATTAAATATCAACCTCATTATCTTTTTTTAAAAATTGTATTTTCACAGATGAGCTCCAGTGGCTGCCTGATGAAATCCAAGTGTTGATGACTCTCTGGGCACAACCCAACATTCAGAAACAGCTTCTCACCTCAGCGACCGACAATCAAGTTTTCACGTATCTCAGCAGCGAACTGGCTTTGGTGGGATTTAACAAGACGCCGCATCAGTGCAGTCTGAAAGTGAACAACCTTAAAGAGGAGTACAAAAGAATCAAGCAATTCGGACTATTTGGGGATGTGAAAAGCGACTGGTTTGCTATTCTGGACAGTGTCCTCGGCCCTGATGGAGAGGCGTTGAAAGAAGTGGATTCATCTGCTGTGCTGACAGAACCTAAATCACCAGAAGATGAGCATGTGAATGGTATGTTGCTTTGATCCTAATGAAAACATGTTCAGCTGAGTCTTTGCGAGATGACACTGTACTAACTCTCTTGCATTGCTTTAACCAGATTCACTCCGAGCTGTTTGGACGTCCGATGAAGTCAAAGTGCTGCTCACTCGATGGGCAGAGGAGAGCATCCAGGAGCAGCTCAGATCAACTCAAAGAAATGAGAGAGTGTTCGCCCAGCTGAGCTCAGAACTTGCCACTCAGGGCTTTGATAAGACCACCAGCCAGTGCAGGTCAAAGATAAGACTGCTGAAGCAGAAGTACAGAAGGATTAAGCTGCAGAAAGACTCTAAAAAGCAAAAAAGCAGATGGTTCGCCATTATGGATAAAGTCCTTGACTGCCGCAAGTCTGAGTTTGAGACTAAAATAGCTGCTGAAGTCACAGATTCAGACCAGACATCTCTACAGGCATCTCAGCAAGACATACCTGAAGCTGCGGAAGGTAAAATAAGCAGTTGTTTTTTCACTTTAAAGTGACTTGCAGCTTAGTACATGTGGCAGGAACTGAATGATCCTGCTTTGGGAAATATGAGATGTCTGACTCCAGACAGGCTCAACAGGACTTCACAGTTGTTTATGTGATGATTGGAGCAAAGATGACAACACTTCGTATAGCTTTTCTTGTGAAGTTGTGATGCAGTGTTTGATCTTTTGGTACTATTTTACATTACAGTGTTTACGAATCACTTGTCACATTATGATCTACGTCCCCTTTATGCAGTTATAGGATGCTGCACTGTTTGTAAGATAACTCTCAAGCAAGCATGTGGATAATATTGATTTAAGTTCTTTAATATAACCTTCAAACATGTTAATGACAAACTGGTTGATGTGATCACTTTGGTAATAGATTTTCTGTCCAGACACCCAGTCAAAAAGTAGTTGTTTGTTTTTTTTACACTAATTTTGGGGAACCTTTCAGGTGTTAGTTAAAGTGTGAAATGTTTTTTTTCTTAATGGGGTTATTTAATGAGGAAATGTGAAATTTGATGTGACTTTTTTTTTTCTTTTTTTTTTTTTGCAACTTTGGAATTGGATGAAATTGCAAACTGTCACGCACAACAAGGGGACTAGTTGAATTACAGGCTTGCAGTTAGAATATTTGCATGTGAATTTATTATTATATTTTTTTTAAATAGCTGCAAGTTGTTTGAGTAATTCTGATTAATCATTCCTTCTAATTGCAGGTTGCCGTTTGCCCGTCTCCTCATTGTGTCTGCTGGTTCCAACCCTGCGTCTGATGAGTGCCTTTACCTGGCAGGTGGTCCAGTGTAGTAATGTGGCGCATTATGGAAAGGTGGAGGATCTGGTGAGGTTGGTGACAGAGTTGGCTCCAGAGCTGCTGACACCCAGAGAGAAAGTGCAGCTGCTGCTCAGGCTAAGAGCAAGGGTGAGACGCAAGAGATGTTTTCAAGTATCAGTGGATTCTGCTGTTAATGCCCAACATTTAATTGCATTTTTATTCATATTCATCAATGAAATAAGGAGAAAAATAATCATTTTAATGTCAATCATAAGTAAAATACAAGCAAAATGTGTTGCCAAGCACTTGTAACTGTGTGTTTCAGCTTGTGCTGGAGTTGTGTCTCAGTGAGAGCACAGCCAACCTGCTGAATGTCCAGCCCCACCTGAACATCATTCAAGACCTCACGATAAGCTCCAGCTCTAATCAAGAGGTACGTCTGTTGAATACGTCTGTTGAATACGTCTGTTGCGATAAAAGCAACTTTCAAATGAAATATCCTGCGCACAATATGTCATTTGATTCGCTGTAAATATTTCCAAATGGGTCTTTACAAACGAATATAATAAATGAAGCTCAATTGTCAGCAAATGATAGGATGACTCTGGTTCCTTTGTTTGTTTCCTGTTTCCTGTTTTATGAATTTATTATTTTATTTTTATGTTGAAGTCTGCTCACCAGCCCCCGTTCACAGAACGCTCTTTGCCATCCTGTCAGCGTCCACATGCAGAAATGTTGAGAACCTCCTCTCATAGAGACAGAAGTCAAAGTCAGAGCTACTTTATTGTCAGTTCTGCTACACGTTCTGCTCTAAGTGTGTGCACCAAATTATTTAGTCTTTCTAATAGATCTTTACTTTTTTTTATCTTTCCGTGCAGCTGTTTTTTTTTTTTTTTAATTTCAGTCCCATTGTATTTCTCTTTGATGTTTGATGATGTTTTTTTTGCCGAAGCTTAAAATTTGATGTGCTTTTTGTTGCCTCTCTGAAATATTCTTTAACGACCAACATGTTTAATGTTATCTTCCTTGTTTTTGATCAATTGATAGGAGTTGGAGGAGTTGGAAAAATCAAAGTCAAACTTTGTGGAGATTGTTCATACTTTGGTCGAGGACACAGAAGAGAGAAAGAGGTTTTTCAAGGTCAGACACTCTAAACACAGTTCACATAACTAAAAAGCACTGGAGGGCAGGCTGCTGTATTAGTAGCAACATGGAATTTATCACTAGATTAATGCTTTTGTTAGTGAATACAAAAGAGAAAAGAATGGACACGTGACAGCTGAATATTTTTCTTGCATAATGTCTTCACAGAGAAGAAACCAAGCTGTGTGCACATGTGTGATGTTTCACTTTCTTTTTCCTCAGGAAGTCTTCCCTATCCACTATGGCCAACAGTATGAAGTCACATTACGCACACTAGTATGGAAATTTATCTCCAGACTGGACAATCTATTACCCATCCCTGATATTAAACAGGTAAGTTGCAGGATATTGTTAAAGCTTAAACAGAGACCTTGGTTTAATATTGATACGTCTTGCTAATTAAAATGTATAAAATTGATGCACGCCATCTTCAATGTGCTATAAATAGAAATGTTACTTCTGATCACACTTTGTTATGTGACTAAACAAGATATTGAATGTTTCGTTGCCTTTGCACAACATGCTCATGAATGTGTTTTATGCATACTTCACAGACTGCAGAGTGGCTCAGCACCAGTCCCTCCATTATGGAAGAATGTGGACAACTAGTTTTGGAACCAGATCAGCTGAAGGCGCTACTTCACTTCCATCAGCAACAGTCGGGAAACACAAACACGTGTAAGTCATTTACTGCAGTGTCTCATAAAAGCAATCAAAGCCTGGGCCATCTAACACATCCAGTGATTCCTAAAAGACGCAAGGTAAACATTTCGCAGAATATTTAAAAGTGACCTTGGAGCTTGCGTTTTTCAGCACACAAAGCAAATGTTGTTTTGGTGGTTAAACCTATTGGAATACAACAAAACTAGAAGAACTGCATTTTACTGACATTTTGAGGATGCAAAACAAGAAAAATGCTTCTTATAATACATTAAAAGACAATATTTATGTAAAAAATCTTAACAGCACACATCCACTTACAAGTCTGAGCACACAGCAGCAGGATGTTGATATGATCTTAGTAACCGTGACCAAATTCTACAATCAAGTCAGAACAACACAGCTGCTATGCCTGCAGACAAAATAGTAGTAGTAAGTCATCTGCTGCTATAGCTGTATCCTTTAGCTATGGCATCTAATGCTAACGAGTATCTTTGGACATTTTCTGTGAGATGAATATTGTTTTCCCCTCAATGGGTATTCAGAAAGGTGTTTGTTTTTTTCTCACAGGCGTCTCTCAAGCACAGACTATGTTTTTGCCGGCGCTGTCTCTTCATTTCAAAGCAAACTCGAAGCAGCTTGCTTCAGAGCAACAGGAAATGTCTACAGATGATGAAGGACAGTTTGATTATAGTGAAGACGACGAGCCAGTTGATGAAAGCCAAACTGGCGATGAGTTAACTCTGGATGACTGCAGCAAAGGAAATGAAGACCTGAAGTTCAACGAAGAACAAAGGAATGGCATGACAACAGCAAACGCCGCAAGTATGCAAGCATCCACTTTTACACAGCAGTAAAAGAAGAACCGCTTCCCACTTCGATATTCACGAGTTTGTTTATTTGTTTGAGCATCTGTTGTAATACTGCTTGGACTGATTTCACAGATGTAAAGAAAGATGAGGTCGTTAGTAGGTGAATAAATCTGTCACTGTGACAAAAACACTCATCTCAATTAACAGGTACATTAAAAACCTTCATTCTGGTAGCATTTCACTTCGTCTGAACCTACTCATCCTCTCTTTCAGATTTAAAGCATGCACCTTTACGCCTTCATACCTGCTCACTGTGTCCGTACTCCGACAGCCAGGTGTCCGGACTTCTGAATCACATCAGAAAGGAGCATCTGATCCAGGATCCCAGTGGCCTTTTCTCTACAGAATTTGGGCAAGATGGCGTCCTTCAAAAAGTCGACGCGCAGATGCTCAGGAGCACAACAGACACTTGTGAGTATTGCGGGAAGGTCTTCAAGGACATAGCAACCCTGAACACCCACATTAAAACACACACTCTGCTATATCACTGCGACAAGTGTGACAAGAAATACTCCTCCAAGGCGTCCCTGACTGTGCACCAACGGATTCACACGGGCGAGATTCCATATTTGTGTTCGCACTGTGGACAAGGCTTCAGGTCTTCGTACACCCTCGGGCAGCACGTTCGCATACACACAGGAGACCGGCGCTACAAATGTCACATATGTGGGAAGACGTCGATCCAACATCTGGCGAGACACATGCGCATGCACAGAGGGGAAAAGAACTATCTGTGTACGGAATGTGGGAAGGCTTTTCTGTCCTCTGGGGAGCTGCGGCTACACACGAGGTTTCACACAGGCGAGCGGCCTTACATATGCAAACACTGCGGCAAAGGTTTCATCGCAAAGTGCCAACTGACGGTTCACACGCGGCGACACACAGGAGAGAGTCCGTACGGGTGTTCGCTGTGTCCAAAATCCTTTCACACTTTGAGAGCCCAGAAAAGGCACATGATGATTCACTCCAACAAGAAGTCTTTCCAGTGTTTAAAGTGTGGTAAAATATTCAGGCAAGAGGAAACTTTTAAAATGCACGCTGAGACACACAAATGATTTAATATAAAGCGTAAACTAACTTATTGTTAATTTGGTTTAAATAGTGCAACCCATGGCCAAGCAGGTGGGTTTAAAAAAATCCCATCCAGTGACTGTTGACTCTGGTAATCATTTGGTCAAGGTGAAATTACACTTGCTACATAAAAATGCCTATTAAAGAGCCTGCGATAAGCTCTTATGGTTTTTCTGCTTCATTCAATGTGTTAAAGTCTGCAAACTTACAAAGTCATGCCAAAAGGAGTTTTTCTCTCCCACAGAAAATGCTGCTCCTTACCTGCATAAAACACTTTGAAGTCCAGGCTTTCCTCCTTTTTCTTTTTAATAACACATTTGCATAACACCTGCCTAACGTTTGGCAAACAAGGAATGAGCAGCTTCCCCATTTGTTTTAACAGGTTTTGGGATAATTGTGGCAAAAACCTCTTCCTGCATCATGCTACAGTGGAGGAGAATGGACTTTAGTTTATCCTACTCTCAGTACTGAAAACTTGATAAACAGTTCACAGTCTGCATCTGAATTACTCTACCAAAGAAATAATCCCTTTGTATTTACTCACCCATCTTGTAGTACAGCCAGTGCTCTTGCTGAGCCTCGTTTCAGGCTTCAACACACTGTCGACGTCACTTCCTCTGCTCAATGAACTGCATGTTCACACTGAGGACTAATGCCACTGTTGTGTAATATTTAGTCATTTTGCTATATGAAAGTAGCTTGACAGTGAAAGTGTCTTTTCTTGGCCTTAGCTTGAAGCCTTAAAGTGTCATGACTTTTGAAAGTGTCATATTTAGACAGAAGAGGCTAAATTCTACTAATGTCACATTAAAGGGATACTCGCCCAGTTTTTTTTTAAAACCAATTTTAGTCAAACTCTGTGCTGCCCAGACGTTGCTTCTTCTATGTTTTGCAGTATGCCGGCATACGTGTCATGCTGTTCCCTATAGCTGCCTTTTCCAAACTTTTTTTCTCACTGGGCTCCTTTGACCTGAAAGTTTGATGGCATGTGGCGTCTGTGATACCTTCACCATCATTTGTGTGTGTGATGTTGTGTTCTGCATGTGGGAATACGCTCAGTAATGAAAGCTTTAACCCTCTGCACTGCAAGCAGCTCCTGGCTGTTTTTCACTCCTCTCACATTTTTACTCAATGCAGGCTCGTTTTCCACTGCAACATAAAGTCCTGCATCTCTATGGAAACAGCACAACCATGACTAGAAATAGAGAGAACTCAATAGTGTCTTGTTTGCATAATGACTTAATTTATTAATCCCATAAATCATAGAAACTGGAAAAAAAGTAGAATTTCTTTAATTTCTTTCTTAATTTCTTTATTCATTGATCCTTACAAAAAAATAGAAGAAACCTGAAACCAACACATGCAACATTTTCCCAGTCTGTGTAAACACAGCCCGGGTTCATCCCAGGTCAGCCAAAAAGTCCCGGGGTTTTTGGCACATGACTGCTGGTTGGAAGTCACTAATGCCTTCCTGATTGTGTCAGGAAGCGCAGAGTTTTGTATTTTCTTACAGAATCTGTTAAGTGCAAACAGTTTATTTTTCAAACAACACACATAGAATAAAGTTACTGTGATGAAAGATCATGTTTTTAGGTTGGTAAACTTAGTTAAGTTTTCAGATGGAACGATGTATCACAGGTGAGTAGTTTAAGGACCGTCAGAAAGTTACAAATTCTGAAATTCTTTCTGTTTCTGTGGTTTCTAGCTTTGATAAACGGTGTTGTTTTACTGATCTTTTTAAAGACAACATGCCTTTCAAACCCACTGCTGTCCTTGGAGGTGCATAGAGTTGTTCACGTGTCTGTTATGTGGTGATAAGTGTGTTGCTAACTAACAATGATTGTTAGTTTTAGACATGGTTATCATTCTGTCCCTGACTCACCCTAATGTAGTTTAGGCAGCAAAATAGATTTATTCTACACTGTTTAAATCAAAATATTGCTGAATGTTGGGGCTTAAGACTGAGGGATGGATAAAAAAAAAAAAAGGATATTTGAGACGAGGGTGAGAAATAGAAAGGACATGTTTGGACCAGAAAATGTTTATTCATTAAAATTGTTACAAAATTGTATGTACATGTTTTATGATGTGGTAACAAACTTAACATTACACTGAGTGATATGCTTTTATACTGAAATAAACACATTTCATATTCATTTTAAATTCATGGCTTGTTGTGTTGCTTATAAGTAGTTTATACAAGGAGACATTATGGCAAATCATGACGCATTTCTGTAAGTTTGGGTCCCAGGGTATGGAAGCAAATCAGGCTCGTCCGATTTTGAATTTTAAAAGCTGTTGAATTTCTATCTTTGAATTTTGTTGCCATCGAAATTGTGTATGTCTGAATTTTACGGTGGCCGACGGGGGTAAATGACGTGCGTATACACAAACGAGCTACATGTACATGAATGTGTTGCATAAACAGAAATGCGCTGCAAAAAGAAAACACTGCATATCCACTCCACCGTAGAATTTAGCCCATGTAAATTTCAATAAGTCAAAATTTCATAAAATTCAAAGATGTTCAAATTCGACAGGTTCAAAATTCGCCGTAAAAAAATTTGCCTTTTACATCTGGGGACGAAGTCGATCCAACGCCCAGCCAGTCAAGTTACTTGATTGACTGGGCGTTAGATCGACTTCGGCCAGAATCGATTGTTTATGTCTAAGTCCCTGGATGTGAAAGGCAATTTTTTTTTATGGCAAATTTTGAACCTGTTGAATTTGAGCACCTTTGAATTTTCATGGCTTCTTATATTTACACCTGAAATGTTGACTTGTTGAAATTTAAATTCAGACAAAATAATTCACATACACAATTTCGATGCCAACAAAATTTAAAGTTAGAAATTCAACAGCTTTTAAAATTCAAAATCGGATGAGCCTGGTTTCCTTCCATACCGGGGAGACAGCAAGTGTCTGTTTTGCGTCTCTAATTGCAAAGTTCTGAAACCCAAGCCCTAAGAAGAAAATAAGACATACAGAAAAATGTACTATACACAGCTAATTATCATTATTATCAAGAGTTTGTTCCATTTATATCACACAAGCATCATTAAATTTTGCCAGTAAAGGAATGTCAAACACTTTTTACTCTTGGATTTCACTTTTGGTAATGCTTCTCCTAATGTTCATTATTCAGTTTTTCGCTTTCCTCCCCATCTGTCTGGATTTTAGCCAAGTCATATGCGTTCCTGTTCCTTTCAGCGTCACTTTTCAAAAGCCTCTTCAGACACTCCGTCAGCTGTGACACTAGTATGATAGTTCCTGTTGTGACGAGCATGATGGCAGTGCGAAAAGGAAACAGGCGATGTCTCTGACCATCCTCCTGTATCTTGTCCCACGGCAGGGGCAGAAAGTCAGGAAGACCTATCAAAGGTTCCCCAACCAGAGCTCTCAGCAGTATTGCCAACACAAAACCAGAACAGGCTCCGTACTGGTTCACCCACCGGGATAAGAAGAAGATGCATGTCACCTGGGGAGACATCATCGAATACAGGACATCTGCGCTGACCACCCAGAACAGGTGAACGGACGAAGTTGTCATAGCCAGAGCTGTTCCCATCAGTCCACAAAGCAGCACTGACACCTTAACCACCATAAGAATCGTTTTTTCTGATGCCTAAAAGCAGAGGAATACATGAGTAAGATTGTGTTAAACAAAGTGTATCAAGTTCTAAGTAAAACCTAAGTACTGTACATGTAGTGATAGTTTAAAAATGTGTTACGTACTTGTTTATAAATGATGTTCTTGAAGACATTTCGGCCCAGTTGTGAGGCAGCAGACAGAAGTGCAGAGTCGGCTGAGGACATCACAGAAGCAGCGAGTGATCCGATGCCGACCACTGAGATGTAGAAAGGGCAGAGATGCTGAAGGGCAATTGGCAGGATCATGCCAGCTCTGCCCTGTTCATACGGACTGGGTGAGCCGTACGTGGTCTGGTTCCAATCTGATGGGCATTAAGCATTTGGAATTAAAGAACAAACATCGGAGTCACAGTGATAAATATGAGTTTAAAAAAAGATGTGTCTTCCACAAGCACGAGGGTGTGCTTTATTCTGACATAACTGCACAATTCTAACATAGCAGATTCTTTTCAGTTGCTCCCTTTAGTTGTCTAAGGGTGCTTTTAGTAGAAAAGTAATGCTTGTTCCAAGATTAGCAAAGATAGGTAAGACTGTGTACTGGTAGATGCTGCCACTGCCCCAATAATGAGTGATGGGATGCCGAGGATTGGGCATAAAACTGCTGCAGCAAAGCAGGTGATCTTAGCTTGGGCATCAGTGGCTGTGGACAGAACTCTCTGGTAGAAAGCCTGGTAGCAGATCCCTCCAATGCCCTTTGAAACAAACATAAACAAAGTCAATTTCAGGAAGTTTTATTTCATGCCGTCACAGTGTATTGGATTTGCAATGCTAAAATGTGTGATTTCAGGCTGTTACCAATAGCAGCAGGTCATCTATCCAGCGACCTGTATCTTTAGGCTCCAGCTTGCCGAGCCAAGGCTCCTGGTACAGTGTGGTTACTGCAGCAACAGTGAAGTTAGCAGAGCTGGGGCTTGTCATAATGAAAGGCACACAGAGCCACTGAAATAAGAAGGAAATAGTGTGTCAGTCCTGTGGATAAAAAAATAACTGTAGTTACAAGATACAAACTGAAGCTGACAGGAACACTATCATGTTTGCCCTGATAAAGGCACTAAAAGTAAAACTAAGGGATCAACAAAGTAATTCAGAAATCCGTTAATCAGAAGTAAACCATGAATGTCTTCACCAAACACTATTTCAGTTCAGCCAATGGTTTTTAAGACATTAATCCGAAAACTATTAGATGAAAAATCAAGCGATTATCAGAATTCGTGCAGTTCGTCCTCTGATTATTTGTATAAAATAGTTATTGAGCGAGCATATATATACTTTGCCACTAAGCTGCAGCAAATTTTATTTAAACTAGAGTATTTAAACTAGACTTTTGAACTCTGTAGTAGTCACCAATGCATGTATTGACCCCAAAATCTAATCACTCTGAAAAGGGACCATACCGAGGTCATATATGAAGTGTCAGGTTCAAACTGCTCTCCTATCAAGTGCTAGACTGTTAACAGAGAAAAAAACACACACACGCACAAAAACAAACACGCGGGCACGATTACTTTATAGTTGCCCATCGATGGGCAACTTTAAAAAAAATATTTACCAAGCCAAGGAGCATGAAACTGAGCTGGATGACATCAGTATAGGCCACAGAGTACAGTCCTCCCATTAATGTGTAAAGGATTGCCACAGATGCCGAGATTCCCACAGCCAGGGAGGAGGAGATATCCATAACCACGCTGACTGTCCCTCCTGTAACCATAAACATACATTCAGAGTGAGGCACTCAAGACAGTTGATGTCAGGGAGTTATTCTTGCTACTATTTTTTAAAAACTTGATCATTTTAGCACCTTGTAGGTCAATGCAAGGAGCATGATGCTTGCATTGCGTCTTTGTTATTGACTTACCCAGCGCACCAAGAATGCACGCTACCCACAAGATGTCTCCGAGGAGAGCGGGGATGAAGAGAACAGCACCTACAGTGTTGCCATATTTCTCTTGAAACGGGTCCATGAGGGTAACATAGTTCTTTGAGCGCATGGGTTTGATAAAGAAGAGTCCACCTGAGGTCACACAGATGCAAACATTTTAACTGCGTGAAACCCTCAACCACAACTTTTGGAGGAAATGTAAGGAAACTACCAAACATTTCCCCGAGTGCCAAGCATAATGGTAAAGAAGTCAATTATACGCACCCAAACAGCAACATTAGCTATTAATGCCATCTCTAAAATAAATGGAACCAAACAGTTGACATTTTAGATCATTGACAGTTGCAGTAACATTTGACTTCACTCACCTAAAACCAGGTTCATTGCAAAGGCAAAAGGTCCGATGGCCCACACCAACCCCTTTGTTGGATCGTAGACCACTTCAGCATTACCCAGAATATAGCCTCCTCCCACCCACGTGGCTGCAAAACATCAGGACACATAGTGAGAAGCAAAACTATTTTCAACTCCATCTGCTTGTAGATGGATATGATTTAAAACCTGAATCGTTTATCCACTGATTTCACAAACTAAGACTCAATAAACTACAACCATTTAAGGCACCTTTGATCAGCAGTGCTCATCCATTGCATCATGATTGTCATCACTGTTATTATTGTACCTGTCATAGTAAATATGCTGACGATGATGTTCAGGTTTCGTCCTCCCACCATTGCGACTTCGCTGCGACTCCCGGGGCTTTTCTTCTCTTCATATTTGGCCTTCCTCGAGGCCCAGATGCCTGTTGCAAGTATGATCATGTAAAAGACTCCTATGGACAGCAGTCCGAGCCAGTTTACTGCCATCTTCACTGTCTGTGGTAATGGGACACCAAGGAAAAAAGACACATATCCCTATTAGGTAATACTACAAACAGTCAATCGAACTCAGATTTCACTTTGAAGTAAGAAAAATGTTTTAGGATTTGCAGCTGAGGAAGAGGATTTGTCAGTATTAGAAACATAGTGTGTAGATAGATAGATAGATAGATAGATAGATAGATAGATAGATAGATAGATAGATAGATAGATAGATAGATAGATAGATAGATAGATACCCAAACAAGTATGTATTTTGATGTATTCTCTGGTGAAGTACGTGAGATGTTGTCGTATGTGATTAGTCACCGCCGCCTACCCCACAACTCAGCCACATCATAGATTAGTCTGCCTACTGAGCTTTGTTGTCCTAGATGCTGTAGTTTACTCTTTTTCAGTGGCTGTCAGTTCCGATAAGCCAATCATTGTCAGCTGATGTGAAATGCACTGCTACCTGTGCGCCACTGTGGTAACGTCGCCACAAAAGTAGTATTTAAATCTCTGATACAATACTAGTAAATACAGAGACTTACTTAACTCTGATAGGCTTAAGTAGCATTGTGTAAACGTGTTTAGCAAGGGCTTGAATGTAATATAACGTGTGGTGTTTGCTTATATATAAAGGTCCCACACTCTAGCTTTAACATTTCAAAACAAATTGATCAGGCTCTTGGTTTAAGCGCATTATTTGAGGTTCTAATAAAAAGGTTTCATCCTGATATTTAAAGCTGCAGTGGGCAAAAATAAGATGGAGGTAAAACAAACAAACAAAAAAGATTTAGAAAATTTACAGCCCCCTTCCTGTAGTTCTTCACCCAGGACTCGACTCAAACTCTCTTGGAAGTTTTCATTCTCGCTCATTGCAGGACCACATCCCTGTCTTACTTAAGGACTTTGTTGATATTGATACTGCTGCAGCTAACTGGTAAAAAGCCTTGTGATTGGCAACATTTTCCTGTCATGCCAGCCTGTCTAAGGGAAACACATCCAGGAGGAGGTTCTCCTCAGAACACGTTAATTACAACATGATAAAAGTTTAATAGCACTGGGAGTTTTTGCCCAATAATGCCAAAAAAAATATTACCTACCACTGCTTTAACTTTAGAACCAATGGAGAAACACAAGATCACCAAAACCTAAAATTTTAGAAGAAAGCAGAAAAATATACTTACAAACATCAAGCAAGATGAAAATACAACTAAAATGTTATTAAGAATGTGGTTTTGTCGTTTGAAAAAAGTTTTTTTTTCTTTGTTCCTTTTCCTTTTTTTTATAGACGGGACACACATGAACGCATAAAGTCCTAGCATTATGAAACTTGTTGTTAAAATGTTCAGGATATATTAATTACAGTGTGCACTAATAATTTAATTGTTGTTCAGTGTTACTTTACCACTGCTGCTCAACACCACTTCTCCCAATCAACACGTGTCATTTTCCACCATTTGTCAACTGATGCCAGCTAACTGTTTTTCGCGGGAGTGATTTGTGGCGTTGTTTTGTTATTGAAAACACAAAGAACGAGATGTGGAGAAGAGAAACAGCCTTAAAAATTACAAGACTCTGGAGGATTCTTTGTAGATTTAGATAGCAAAAAAAAAGTGCGTTTATTAGTTTAACAATAAATACAAGCTGCAAGTTGAATATTTTACAACACAATGATTTTTAAAAATGTAGATTTTCATTCAATCTACAGCAAATTTTCCAATCACACAGCTGCTTTTGCATTGCTGTAGCTTGGGTTTATTGACAGACCAGGACCGGCCTGGACTTCTGCCAAGACACCTAAAATAAACACCGCAAACTCAACAGCCAAACTTATTACAAAAAGATAACAGTCCTACAGTACCCTGTTACTCTTCTTTCACTACAAGATCAAAACAAAACTGGAATATTTGCTCTGTCTCAAAATAACTGTTCAAAGTATATATTGTAATTACCTGTGTTGTCCGTAGGAATTGTTGAGGAGGGTACCAGTTGGAGTAAAGAGCCCTAAAGCCACCGATCACAACAGTGAGGAGGAAGAGGAGGAGGCACGATGAAGCTCCAGAGAGGGTAATGAAGACTGGGTGTAGTTTTAACCCTTTTTGCTCAACGTGTAACCGACACCTGCAAACACCTGACACCTGTTTCACCTCCTTCGTTGCTTCCTGACTCCTAGCAGCATGACTCGTTTGTCACACCGGTGCATCCAGCGCTTGGTTTTATCATCAGATGAATACTTGTCGAAAAGAACCAAACACTTCAGAATCAGAAAGTGGACATCAGAAAGTTTAGACAGAGCAGACATCACCTCTGATCCTTCAGGCTGTTCATTGTGACAGTGCTGTCAGAGATGTTGTCCAGCTGTTGACCAGGCTGCACCACACAAACTAGTTCTTGGGGTGTTGATAGTTAATATTTACTCCAAGTCTTACTTACAACTGACAAAGCTAATGTTAGCTTGCTAATATCTGACCTGTTTAGAGGACAGAGCAAAAGAGGTAAACAGTTGACGTATCTAACCTTAAACTTAGATTTATGATGGAAATATTAAAGATGGAAACATGTTTTCTAAAAAATACTATTTAGTTCATCAGCAGACAACAACAAAAGCTTTTCAAACTCAAACACTAGAAAACAAAGACAATATTCTTCACGTAGCATACCAGACTGACAGAGATCACAGATCAAATAATAAATTTCATTAATCGGATCACTCATTGTAAACTGTGTGAATACTACTAACTGTGAACAGCATATTTCTTGTGTGTGTGTGCATGTATAAATAATAATAAAAAAGATATTTAAAAAGACCATTAGCGCCTTTAAAATAAAACTTTTTAGAAGTTATGTTTGCTTGTGATGCTACAGTTACCTCCTGTTTAAAGAAATAATTGCTCTTAATTAGGCAGATTTTCTTAAAAATCACTTGTTTGCAGTTTATCAATTTGCTAAACTATGCTCACGAAGGCCAGTTTAACAAGTTTTCACCACGTTAGCGGAGAATGTTGTCTTTAATGAACAGTGAACACATACTCTGGCATTGTCACTCTCATAAACTGAACTGTATGACAACTTCAAATACACACAGTATGTGCTGCAGCTATGCCAGCTTTGCCTCTAATGCTAATATTAAATATATGCATCCAGTTAATCGAGTTTCTTGTTTACCAAATCTGCAATTTTCAAAACATGTCTCCTGTGTCTGTTAAATGTTACCTGTGTGTTGTTCTGGTTTCTGTTTGTTAGTGTTCGTTTTACAGCATGTACTTTTAGCCTGTGTTTTACAGATTTTCACCATCTTCTGAAGTAGTTTTATACCCATGGCTGCATCGCTGACACAGGACGCTGACAACATTTCAAAGAGAAACTTTGTGAACCGGACAAAAAAGCTCAAATGTGGGAGAGACTTATGCCTCGTTACCAACACATCTGACTTTTAGGTACATTTTCCACTGGGCTAGTACAATATTAATACGTGTGTGTACAGTAGCATCTGATTTTTCGTTGTAAAGTCCAGTTTTCACTCAGTTTTATAAGCTTAATAACATATTTCATTTAGCCAGCTTTTCCCTGAGTGATGGGATGCCTATACAAACCCCACAGCTTGAAATATTTTACCTGAGAGATTTCTTCCTGTGTTTGTTTCTCCGTGCTCTACTCGCTTGTTTAAAGTGAGTTCAGTAGCTCAATGAGAGAAAATGTGCTTCTGGAGGATCAGGTCAGAGTTTAGCCACTAGCAATCTGATCACAGTCAATGCCAGTCAAATTTAATCAACGCACATCATTCAGAAAAACTAAATTAGCAGATTAATTTTTATTTGATAATGATATTTTAAGTTGTTTTTAGCCGTGCTATGGGCATGGTTTGAAGGAAGGCGATGTTTCTCAACTGGTCAGATTGTCAGGCCGTCATTTTTAGACTAAAATATCTCAACAAAATACTAATGGATAGTCATGAAATTTTGCACACATGCTCACAGTTTGTTTAGGATTATAACCCCCGATTTTGGAGATGTGTTCTTGAGTTCCATCATAAGGTTGCAGTTTTTATTAAAATATCCAGTCTGCCTATAGGATGGGTTGCCATGATAGTGGTATGGAAAGCTCTGTCGACACATTTGCTGATTCTCTTTGTATTTAGCATGATCATTCGGTCTAAATGTGAGTTTATCTAATACTTTATGACCAAACAAAACTAAGGACATAATCATCAAGCTTCATTCTGTTTAGTTCTAATAAGGATATAAAACTAGCATGACCATAGACACTTGGCCCTGTTTGAACTGCGATTGTTGCTTATTGAGTTCTAAACATCCAAAGTTAAGTCAAAGACATAATCACACAACTGTTTTAGCAAAACATGTTGCATCGCTTGAGAAATAACAAAAGTAGAATCCAGATTAAAAGACTCTGAACCTGCACTAAGAGCCTGAAGTGAGATCAGCCATCTGTGACCTTCAGTAACAAAAGTCACTAATAGAGCCGCCGGTAGCCTTTCAGGTATCTTAGTAACCACTACTGACTTGTAACTGGACCTGCAGCAACATATCAGCACAGAACGAGCTCCGTTAATGATTGCTTTGAGGATCAGGTTCTGTCCAGCTGTAAACATACACTGTTTGTTGGCGGTGCTTCACTGTGCTTACATGCAGTGTGTGGGAATTTTTGGCCCCTTTTACTCTGAGGGGTGATTCAGCGGACGGTTTTGGGACTACTGCACGTGATCCTTACTGAGCTGCGTCAGTTTTCATTTCAGAGTAATGACACGGAAGGACGGAAGCGTGCCTGATGAAGAAGGCTGGATGGAGGAAAACAGTGGATCTCTGCTTGCAAAACACGCCAGAGCCATTGATGTAGTTGGTTCCGGTGAATTTCATGGATGGTACCAATCATTTACAACGCAGATGGTAGACGTAGAATTCAATGCACTTTAGAATACAATTTGCATGTTTAGTGAGATTTTAAGAATGTTTTTTTTTTTTTAGAAGAATACCAGCACTTTTAGGGTTCATTACCCTCCAAGATATAAAGATGAAAGATATGGAGTGTAGTGGGTTGGATGTTACCTGGATTTGAGTCCAATAGTCAGAGGTCATGGATGACCTCTCAGTAAACCACCCAGGTCCATTTAGCCAAAAACCCATCCTGTCACTTAAAACCCTGGATTTTTACCTCAAACTGTTGCTGCTGCTCCAGAATGTGATACACAATCAAAGTTTAATGCAACATTGTCTCATAAGGACAGAAGCTGGAGGGTTTCCAAACTTCACGTCAGAAGCAGGATCTCCTTTCTTTTTTAGGCTCCCCATCCCTGCAGGACACACACAGGTGAGCGGAGTATTTCGTAAAGATTAATAAAACTGACATTATTGAGCAGATGTGTCAATGCAATGGTACCATTAAGAGAAAGCATTTTCCCTCATTTATGGAGTGGAATGTGTTCACCACCTGGAGAAATAGACTTCTCCTTAGATCCTGGTGTAAGGGTGGTTGTTGCACTTTCCTACACTCTAACATCAATGTATAGCACATCTGAGTTGCCACAGCTATGTGTTCATTCATACCGCACTGCTTGGTGACTGCCTGCAATATCACAAAGACAGTTTTTTAAAAAAACATTGTGACAGAAGGAAGACAGAATGCACTAAACATAGTCATGTTTTCTTTTTAGTTTTAGATCTCCCACTGCTGTCTACTTTACATTTGATGTGCATTACATCTGATATTGAAGTACAGTTCCAGTATTTGAAGACTTTACAGTCCAGTCCTGCAGCTGCAGCACTTCTGAATACTTGTACAGACTATATAGGCATCTATGGACTTGTGTTCCCTTACGTTTAATGCTGTGTTTGTGGCCAGAGGAATGCTGTGCAATGTGGTCAACCAAGCTCTTTCACTATTTACTTAAATGCTCACACTAATTAAATCCTTACCTTTTTACTTTTAACCCGCAGCTATCCCTGGCTGATGGAGACAGCACTCTGCCTCACTGGATAGTATTTAGGCAACAGACCAGCAGTCTTGCTGGCTTGGCCTTGACTGAGGATTGTGGAATATATCACCTTGAAGTGTCCATCACTGGTGAGAGGTGCACGGCCCACTTTTATCTGCACATCCTGAACAGAACAGTGACTGACAAGAATCCACAACGGTAAGAAATCAAAACACTTTATGAGGGGATGTGTCCACTTATAGTTATTATTTTGTCTTTACAGCTTATTGTGCTGCCACCAAGTAACCAAAACATGGCCGATAATGCAGGTCACAAATACACAGTTTCTTCTGGATACTGTGGTTTTGAGAACGCATCTCTCAAACATTAGTATATAGAGCTTTTTAAAATCTAGTTCAGGCTGCAGATTTGATGAACTTATGAGTATTTATGGCATTGTAACAGTTTATTCTTTATGTAGCTCTTAGTAGAAGAACATGATTGTGTGCCCCTGTGATAGACTGGTGACCTGTCCAGGGTGTCCTCTGCCTTCACCCTGAGTCAGCTGGGATAGACTCCAGCTCCCCACGACACTAGTGAGGGTTAAGTGGTGTATAGATAATGGATGGATGGAGGACTGTGTGCCTTTTAAACTTGTGAACTTTATGGCACAAGAAATAAACTTCATTAGATTTTGGCTACACAGAATATGATTGTTAGTAGAATATACTCATTGTTGGTTTTGGTTTGGGTTGTCAGAATATCAGATTTTTACTACGTCATTTATTTATCTATAAAAACAAATTGAGTGAATGCAGGAGGAGATTCTGTAACCATAACCTTACTGTAGGCTGTTAATATGTTGGAATGTTAACCAGATGGAACATTAACAACATTATTATGTGTGTCTTATTGGCATGGTATCAATAGTAGATATTTTAGTTTGTCACACTTCTAGTTTTGATCTTTTCATGGAAATGACTTACAAAATGAATGAAAGTGTTGTTGCTTTGTGTCTAACAGGGATAGTTTGTCCTGCTCTGGAGGACAGATGACCACCTGGGCGACCCTTCTCCTCCAGCTCAACCCTACGACTCTTGACGCCAACCAGCGCATCCATCTGGTCAGCACCATGGCCGACTACCTGCGCCTGCTGCTCAGCTTTGTCTCTCTATTTTCACAAAGAAAACCCTTCACACTAAAGCAAGACAAGCTCAGAGTTTGTAGACAAGGCGGGCTTGCTGAGAAACGAGATGCTATAGGAGATGTTGCTGAGATTGTGTGGCCCGTCGGTTGTCAAGAAGAGGAACGACAAGTTGATGTAGCTAAAGTCCTGGAACACAGTATGAAGACAGGAAGTTTGGAGAAGTTACTGGGAGCTAAAGTTGTGGGATTTAGGGTGCTATGTGCAGCCGGTGAAGTGCGACATAGAGTTAAGAGAGACTTGCAAAGGCAGAGATTTACACCTACTCCTATTATGATTGTTCTACGTCCAACTCAGGTCCGACAGAGTGTGGAACTTAAACACATACATGCAGTTCCTTTAAAACTGGAACCAAGTTTTTCAACTGTTTCCTTGCATATGAACCACATGGGGATGAAACACAGGAAGGACTCAACTGGAAATACTGTAGTCTTTGGCAGGCAGACTGATGCGTCCCTAGAAGCACCTGAGAAGGTGTCCAAGTTGACCTACGAAGTGCACAAATTCAAAACACTGAAGTATCAACCCGATATAAATCCTGAGATGAAAATCGCCAACAACATGCAAAAAACACAGAAACACACAACTTTCCTTTTCTCTGTTGAGCAGACAAATTTGTACCCATATATCACGAGTCCTAACAGTCTCCTGGGGCGACAAGTGTCGACTGACAAAATGATTTTGACACCTGACAGTCTTGCAAAATGGATATCAGTTCACAACTCTCAGCAACATATAAAGCAAACTGGGCTGTCTCCATCACAGATAAAACCTCTTATTGAAGTGACTGGTTGCATTAAACAAGTACCAGCAGTTACATTGTGGACCACAGAGTTATTAGATTCACCCTTTTTTCCCAAACATCCATCGACAGCTGGTCACAACAGGCTGAACTTGGAAACTTTCACAACACCACACAGTATTTACCCCTCACTGCCACTGACCCGGGCCTCTCACAGCGTCACCTCCACGCTGACACACGAAGCCGCCGACAGAGATTCGCTCGCCACTCGTCTGACCCTGCGACCTCCCCAGAAGGAAACCCCCTTCTGGACCGAATCCTGGACAGCCGACCGCACTGAGTCAGAGAGTCAGTCCTCAGTGAGCTCACAGTGTAGGTCTGCTGCTGTTGACTTCTTTATGACTATCTGGGATTGTTCTGGGCGCTCAGTCATGCAGATCATATGTTGTAATGACTTGACCTTGTTTGAAAGGGAGTCTGCAGCTGAACGGAGCTCGAGGGATGAATGAATGGAAGAACATATGGGCTAATGTAGTCAGGGAAGTATGGAAAACAAATGACTGTGTTAGAGTTGTGAGTGATGCTGAGGATCACATAAAGAAATGCAGAAACAGAAGAATTTAAACACACTGCATGAACGGATTTTCTGGCCTCTTGAATGCAGCTTTACAGTGATAATTACTTCCTACGTTGCTACAGACACTTAAATCAGCCTCCAAGTTGTTATTCTATTCTACATTTTCTGTTTTTGTTTTAACCACTGCTACAGAGATGTCTCCAACAGTATTATATAACTGACAAATGGAACCGTAAAAGTGTCTTCAAAGCTACCCTTATTTATTCTTATTTTGGAATATTTTTGCAATTTCGCGTCTATTTGGTGCTTGGTAAACAAGACACTAAACTATTCCAAAGTTTGTGAGTTGGTTCAACAAGCGCGTTGTCACTTGATGAATTGTTTCATAAAAATCTACTATAGAAACCATAAATTCGGTGGATGAATGCAGTAAACAGCTTTTTGAACTCTTGTCTGTTTGTTGGTGGGAGCACTGAATAAGTCATGACTGAAATGAAATGTTTTTCTCTCCTAGGTCACACTGTCCATAACGAAGGGCCTTTTAAAGACCACAGCGTTGCCAAACCAGCGCCCCCTCAACTCTCATCTGTTTCCCATCCACTTTGTACGGAGAGTTACGATGCCCTCCTGCTGAGCTCCTCATTTCCGACAATACAATCACTGCCATCATCAGACAAAACGGCTCCCCCTGTGGTGTTCCCAGATGTGTCACTACACATAACGATGGAGCGGCTATCAGTAACTCAGCCCTTTGGCACGAATCAAAATGTGTCCCCAGTCACATCTGGGATGAATCAGGATCAGATGTCTCAGCTAAATGTCACAACTCAGGATGTGTCATCGACCTCATTAGCAGGTCAGGTGATGATGTCTGCACACACTGAACGGGAGTCTTCGCTGTCAACATTTTCACTGTCCAGTCTGGAGCCCTCATTGGTGACATTAACACCAGCTGTACCGTCCGAGCTTGGCGTTTTCAGTTGGCAGCGTGAGACACCTGATATTACAAATCCATTATTTACTGAAGAGTCTCTCAAAGTCTCATCATCTCAGATGCCACCGCTTCAGATGTTTTCCATACCTTCATTTCCTGATGTTGGTGCTTCTTCTTTGCAGCAGAATCTTGAAGATTTTAAGTCAGAATCAAAGACAGAAGTATGTTTGGATCAAAACACACTAACACAGACATTAAACTTAGGAGTCGTATCGGGTTCACTGCTACCAACATCTCTTCCAATGAGCCTTCCTTTGTTCAAACCTCCTCAAATCATTTCATTACCAACAATGTTCAAAGAAAAATCCATAACATCTTTCAAGTCAAGCAGTGGGAGAGCACAAGTCATATCATCAGTGGAACAAACTATCCAGTCACAGCTTCTTGAGAAATCCCAGCATGTTGAGAAGTTTTCCCACATATCCTTTGTCACTGGAATCACAGCAAGTGCATTTTTCAGTTTAACGTTTCTGACTTTGATCCCACCAGACCTAAAAACTATAACTGTGATTTATCCTCTGTCAGAAACCTGGATTACCAGACCAGTGTCTGGTGGATATGTTGATCCCACGGCTCCCTCTACTGCTCAGGAACCACACACTGCATCCACCAGTCAACAAATGGAGAGTCTAGAGCCTTCGTTCCCGTTATGTGGCCAATTTATGGATGTAAATGGTTGTACTCTACCAATCAAAAGCACCTCTACTGAGAACACAATGGTGCATGTTCTAACCAGTTATTTACATGACAAGAAGTATCCGACTGACTCAACTGAGACTTTGGTGGAATATCTTTCATCACAGCTCCTCTCAAGAGATGTTTTAGAGGAGCATTCTGAGTGGAATGTGTTTGCATCCTTGCTGTCTGTCAGCAAGACTTCAGAAATAAACCATGTGACAGCTAGTCAACAAGCGGACCTCTCTGTGATGCTACCTCCTTTAGAAGGCAGCGGTTCCTCCATAATAACACACACATCATTGACTCTGAGCTCCTCTGACCTTTGTGGAAACTGTGCCACTTCAGAGAATTCCTTGTTAATCTGGAAATCATTTATTAGACACAGCCGGATCACAACAGTGCTTTCTACTCAGCAGATTCTATCTTGGAGTATATCTAATGGGATGCCAACCTCATTACAAGCTGTAATTTCCTCAAACAGAAGACAGAGCTCAGTCCAGCCATCCCGCACTTCAGTTTCCATCTCAAGTAAGTATCATCATCTACGGCCCTGAGTAAGGCCCTTAATTCTCAGTAGCAGCTGTAAAAGGTGCAGAAGCCAGCAGGTGAACATGAGGCAGAGAAAACCCAAAGATGTTTGGTTTCCTGACATCTTTTCCAGCAACATATAACACATTGTCGCAATCGAGGAGCTGGAAGCAGCAACTGTTTGTCATTTTTTTCTTTAAAAATTGCCAAAATTATGAATATAAAATCAAAATAGTTGCATTTTTTTTTGGTCAATTAAATGTTGCAGCTCAACAAAAGATGCAAAAAAAAAAATAGGAACCCAGATATCAAGATGTTGCTCTACACCACTACTAGTGAACAAGGTTCCTTAAAAATCATTTCTGTGGCTACAGCTGTATCTACTTCGAGTACCAACTTTAAAATATTAAATTTGTATGGATTTTTATTTACAGGCATGTGCATTTAAATGAAACAACTTTAACATAACTTGATTTTGTCCTTCAGGTTCCCTCAATCTTCCACCCAAAGTGTTACAGTCTATTCCAGCTCTCATGGCCACTGTTGGCTTCCCTTTCCACTACATGATCCCGCCTAAAACCTTTGTGGATCCAGAGGATGGTGAGGCGGACACTCTGTCTCTGGAGATGTGGCTGATTAATGGGCCACCTGTCAGTGTGGGTACCTGGCTGGCTCTGGACGGTTTGGAGCTTCATGGTGTTCCTCTGGAGGTGGACCTGCAGTTTGCTCCTCAGGATCTGGTCCTGGTGGCCCGGGACAGTCAGGGCCTGAGCACCAGGCTGCCCCTCACTCTGGATCTGCACCGCAGCCCGATCGACCCATGCCATGTTTTCACCCTAACAGCTCAATGCAGCCTCCACTCCATGCTCCGCCATCGCCACAGAGTGGAGCTGCTACTGAGGAAACTATCTGGTTTCTTCAACAGCTCCAGCAGCCACCATCTTTCTGTTGTTTCCATGACGCCTGGATCCACTGTGGTGTCTTGGTACAACTACAGCCTGTGTGAAACTGGCAGAACTAGAGTATCACACTGTCACACTGATCTAGTACGAAGTATGTGGTTGGCAATGAACTCTGCAGATGGATCAGTCAACGATGCATTTAGAGCAGCAATGCTTCCAGAGTTCCTTATTACCAACGTTGGATCTGTGAGATTCAGACGAGACTGTTATCCCACCACTCCCACATTTGGTAGTTCAACTCCTAGTGTCCAAACAACACTGGATACAGGTTTAGGCACTAATACTTCCATCAGTTCCACCACTAACACTCATGCCTCTGCATCTCCAGCTGTCACTGCCACCTCACAACAGACAGACTCGTATCAATGGATGGCCGGCATGTTGACAGCTCTCCTCATCGTCTGTCTCCTCATCCTGATCGTCCTGCTTGTTGCTGCAGTTCTCTATTTCTGCAAAGGTCACGCACGGTCGAGAGTAGTTGCCATCTGGCCTGCAGGCAGGCTGCTCTCGGTTCAAAACAGAGACCTGACAGCCATACGACCAAGACGGCCTCCAATATTCCAGCCTGAGCTTCCTCCTCCTCCACTGAGACTGTGGATCAACCTTTCAAATGAGGACGAGTGGCAACTACCATCAGATTATGACAAGATACTACAGCCACGTCCTCCACGGTATGACACTTCGAGCGTATAACAAGAAAAAAAAAGGAAAATTTGTCTGAATAATTTGACTTTGATCAGCTGTAAATGTTTGAAACAGCACAGAGGCTATTTTATGAATAAATTGCAACCATTTACTGTTAGTAGAAGCAGTTATCGTCACAATGTTTAAGGAAAGTATCTGGAGGCACAGTGTTGATAGAATGCATTAATTCCATATTCAGAAAAAGTATAAACACGAAAGTGTAAAATAAGAAGAAAACAAAGGGCAGAAACAGTTAGTGATTGGCTGCTGCTTTTGTCAAACCAATCGCTTATGTTTCACATCTATATAATTTATGTCATCACTAATTTCATGATGTCTTTTTTATGTCACACTGACCACTTTAGGTGTACACTTCCTTCTTCATCAAAATGAAGATTTCATTAAGGTAATAACATATTAAAATTCTCATATCAACATTCATATGACTTGCGCAAAACCCAACAGCATCGTTATCTACTGACAGCTTTTATTGTGTTACACAATATGTGAACAGCATATCTACAAAATCAGGGGTAAAAAATTATAAATTTCATGTTAAAGTTCACTGTCCATTTCATTTGGCGTCCTCGTTCTGGAAGCATACGGTGACACCCAAGTCTGAAAAAACACTCTGGACCACAATCTCATCCTCGGAAAAGTTGAAGCGACGGCTCTGTGGAGACATCATCTGGAGGCCTTCCCGTTTTCATGAACATCCATCCTGTAAATGGGAAAAATATCAAGTTCAAAGACTTACAGATTGGTTAAAAGACTTTTTTTTTTCTAGCTTGTATGTATCTGTTACTGCATTTGTAAAATGTGTGGACAAGATCAAGACATACAAAGCAGCATGTTCAGTATAATCACATTCACATCACATTACAGGTGATCGGTTATTCACAACCCACCCATTCTCGTCTTTGAGGTGCTGATACAACTCGAACTTGTTGTTCACGGAGCTCGCTCTTCCAACAAACTCTTGGTGCTTCCTGGAATTGGCTGCAGTGATCCGGTTGGTCCACATGGTGAGGAGTGAGACGGGACCTGCAGAGACAGCAAGAAAAGGCCACAGATAAAAACATGAACGCTAAGTGAAAAACAAAGAATGCAGTTAGTTTACAAAAAGGCCTTGGAAGACATTTTTGATCTAATTTACAAAAGTGTTTAGTAAGAAAACTCTTTCTTTCTTGGAGGCTGTAAACAGTAACATGTTGATTTACTGCTGGGACTTATTAACAAAAAGGTAACATAAAGGTTAAAAAAGTATGTTCTTATTAAATAATTACCATCCTTATGATTCATACTGGTTTTTCTTTCATATGCGATATCAAAAAGTCTGAAATTTATCCTGTGAACCCTTTAATATAAACTTCCATAAGAAAATCTTTCATGTCCAGAACAGAGACCAATGCGAAAATGGACTCAACTGCACAGCATTCAAAAAACTGAGAACTGCTTGAAAAGTGACAAAAATGTCACTGATTTCTCTTTTTTTCCAGTTTCTGTCCCGAGCAGACATAAGAGGATGAGCTCTGGTACCTTTTGCTCTCTCCGGAGGCTGAACTTCCTCTGTGGTCAGACGAGGCTTCTTGTTCAGCGGCTCTGGTGAGTCTGGAGAATCCTTGATCACCTCTGCCTCCTGGTCTTCTTTATCCAGCAAACCCTTTAGCCTTCAAAACAGTGTAGCAGGAGAAAATATTAATGGAATCTAGGCAAGAATGTCTTTTTTTTTTTCCTCTGTTCTGAATGCTCCTAGGGAAAATTAGTGTAATACTAAAAAGCTGAACATAAAGGCAGCAAATCTGACTTTTCTACACCCATGATGACTATTTTCACATATAAACAAACTACAGATATACAAAGAGGCCCTGCTGACCTCTCAGATTCCTGCCAGCTTTTGTCGTCCGTGTCCTTGCTGCCATTTTTCTCCGTCCTGTCCTCCCTGTCCTCCCTCTTCCTCCCTCTCTTCTTCCTCTCCTCCTCCTCTGGAGGTTTGCTGCGACAGGCGATGATACAGTCCAGAACTCGCTGGTGTCTGTCAGTAGCTCCGGCGTGAGTTTTCACTAATGTTTCCAGCTCGTTCCACATTATGCGGTACTGTTCGTCCCTGGAGACGACAACGGTGCAGAAACATTAGAAAGACTGTTTACTTCCAGAAGCTGTGTGGTTGATGCTCATTTCCGCTGGTAAACAAAGCATGGAGGATGTTCTCAAAGCTGAATAAATACCTCTTGGGGCCTTTGCCTCTGGATCCCACTGTGGAAATGGGGAGTGGGTCATTCTTCCTCTCCATGTCCACCAGATTGTAGACGGTCTTCTGGCAGGTCAGAACGTCCTCATCAGTCAGAGTCTCTTTTACGATCAGGTTAGCCAGAGGAACCACCTAGTGGAGGAAAACAAAAGGACACAGAAGGTGCTAAAGGATGGGCCAACGTGGAAACTAGCACAGTCCAAATTCCCATGAAAACCCAGTGTTCAGATTCTATTTTAGGTTACAGCAAGCTGAATATATTTAGAATGAGGTCTAAACTTCTAAACAACTCTAAACTGAACCCCAGCACAGTATCTCCACATTATGCTCACTGCTTGCATGTTGAAGATGGTGGTCTGGGAGATGATCATGGGCCAGTATCTGGTGTGACGTTCCAGCTGAGCTTTGGCCCTCTCAGCTGGCAGCTTCCCAGAGGGATCATGGGAAGACTCTGAAACAGGAGTCAGCCGGTTCTCCCTCATAAATTCACCAAAATCCTGGGGAAAAATAGTTTTGATCAGAATAGTTTATTTAGTTGCATGTTTTAAAACAGATTCTGTGAGCTGGACGTACAGTGATTCTGTAGTCCGTCACTCGGCCTCCGCAGCCCTCGCTGATGGAAGGCGGATCCTCTAAGGTGGAGCGGTTGCTGTTGAGCACATGCAGGAAGATCTCGCCTCCGTGGCTGCTGAGCATGTGGCTGATGACTTTTGAACCCGACTTCCTTGGCTGCTCCAGCAGCACTGATCGACCTGTCAATAAAAAAGGAAATCAGTCGACAACTCAATTAGTCTGCAGATCAATCCAAAGCCAGAAAATGTTACGACTATTTTCTTCAGGTGAATCTTTGTTTTGAGTGTAAAGATAGCTTCATTGGACATCGTAGAAAAGCAGAAGAAAAACAGCTTCAATAAACAATCAGTGAACTGACTGGATGAAATAGGAAACAAATGACGATTATAAAAGGTTTTTCCAGCTCACCGTTCAGGAGAAAGTTTGTCAAACAAGACGAAGGACGACTGTTTACGTCTGTGGGGGAGATGCGATAGGCTCCTGTGCAGTAATGCAGCTCTGAGGTGGAGAAACAAACACTCTCAACAATCTTTGACGACAAATGTACGAGTTGATTTTTCCATACTACATCAATAATGCTGTTCTTCATTGTTGTGAAATATTTTTGTCAAAAAATGCTGGAAATGCTGTCTGACTTTGCTTAAGAATTGCAACTTCTTCAAAGCACTTTCCATTTAATGTCAGAATTATCACAGCTTCATAACTTCAAAAGAAGCTATTTAACTCATGAAAAATATGTCACCTAACCTGGCATTAGTCTAATAATTAAAAAGCCATTTCCTTACTATTTTTTTTATTTTTTAATGTAGCACCAAAAGTTGGAAAAACTTTTCTGAACACAGTGTGAAAAGTGTGAAACCTCTAGAATGAAATAACCGACAAGTAAGCGCTTATGTTGCCCACCTATGCTGTTGGTTCGTGGAGTGCACCATTTCAGTGTAACAGTCTCTTTAAGTCCATTTTCTCGAGTGCTGGTGCCTGCCATATGCAAATCTCCTGCACGACACAAAGAGAACATATCAAGTATTAATTTTAATGACAAATGTAGAACATTAAATATACATAAAATGATTAAGGATCAAAGACCCTGCAAATTGATTTCAGAATGAGGTGCTAATTATACAAACAGTAAAGGTTACAGTTTACTTTTGAACTAGTTTATTCTGTGCAGTTGTGTATAGAGACCACTAAACTAAAAACTTGAACCCACTGCTCTGCTTGAATGTCTTACTGTGATTTATATACGTTCTTTAACATGAGTACCCACCACTTTTAAAGAACTCCAGGTGAGCGTCTCTGTGATGCAGGAGCTCAACGTCATAATTAGCCGATGTGTTGGCATGCTGCTCTTCCTGTCCATCCACACACACACATAGTAACAAAAGAAGGTCAGCATGATGTCAGCTCTTAAAATGTGCACGTTCACACTCACAAACTCACTCACACACACGCGAACAAACACACATCAACACTGCTGATTTCATGTTCCGAAGGGGAAAATGACAATGGACAAAGTAAAAGGAAAATGTCGGCTCGCTCAGTGACTCAAGCATGTTTTCGCTCAGAGACTAGTGTTGAGTGTGAATGTGGTTTAATTCTCACCATGTGGAGCTTCTGCTGGGCTTATAGTTGTTTGACAATGTTAAGAAAAAACTGCTTTATATAGTGTATTTATGCTGAAGTTAAAACATGGGGCCTGGCAACCACTGAATGCTGGCTTTGAATCGACAACATAGTAGACTTACAAAGTGGTAGAGTAGAACTATCTAAAGGTGGAATCAAGTTTAAACATTTAAGGGATGGTCATGTTTAAAAAACTAGTTATCAAGACAGCACAATGGATCACACCGAGACACTAAATGGAAAGTGTTTGTCATGGGAGGAGAAGGATTTAAAGGAGGGGGGACAGAGACCATGGGGGAGTTTAAACATATTTTAAGATATACACACCTAACAGACACTGACAGGATTTCATAACTCAGAAGAGGCAACGCTGGTCGTAAAAACAGCTGAATGCAACATTCACATAATGCAGGTTTTTTTCTGTTTGGCATAAATATGATCTTTTGAAACCACACAAACAAATTATTTTCCCACAGCAATTTAAAATCCTTGATATCATATAATTAGCAGTTTAAAACAATTAATTCATGTTTACACGTTGACATCAAACTCCAAACTCTGCATTCACATGAGACCAGAGTTGCCTGTCCTTGACTTGAGTCTCGCCAGCAAATCTGCAGAGCAACTGTCACATCAATATGAAGTATTGGTAAGACTGTTTGCAACAGTAGAGCTCACAAAAAAAGAAAGAAAAACACTACATGTTGTAAACTCTGCCCCTTCCTCAAGTTGATGTGTGTGTGATCAGGGTACTAACCTGTTCGCAAACATTTAATGTGGGCTAGCAAAACAGAAAATACAGCATGAAACCAGCAGCAGGTTCACAGTCAAATCAACATGCAGATGAGGAAAACAAAAAAAGATGAGACTGTAGAGTTTCATGAGTTATTATAGGGGAGGAAGGGCTTAAGCAAGCAAAAAGAAAAGTGTGAGGGAGAAAATAACTCAAAAGTAAGCAATTAATCAAACTAAAAAAGTGAGCGATGCACCGTATTCTGAACATGACAAGACTTTTATACTAGTAGCAGGAAAAAAAAAACATGTAAAAGTTAATGTAGGTTAACATTTTGGCGAAGGATGTGCAAGACAAAAAGCAACAAGAAGCAGCTCTTTACCTTCATGGGGATGTTTGTTATGGTGGTGGAGGCCAAGTCAAAGTGCTGCTGGACCAAAATGTTGAGTTTGGTGGCCAAGTGCCTCCCAGCACGAACACTGTGAACCTCGCTGGTGAGCAAAGGAGAGATCTGGGAGGGATACAGTGAGAAAAAACGTCATTAAATGTCATGTTTTCACTTTCTTTTATGGTTGACTTTTAATACGAGCTCCTAGCTTTGCACCCACCTCTTTCTTGGGTCGATCTGACACCAGCGTGTCTTCACCCTGCGGGTAGATGTGAACTAGAACCAGCTCACACTGCTGGATGGCCATCAGCCTAAAACCCACAGCAATTAAAAAAGACATTTTTATAAACCTTTCATTGCTGCATAGTGTATTTCATGTCACATATGTGTCATACTGTTTTCTGAGAATGATTTATGGCATATTTGAGTCAAGTTTAACCCATTACATCAAGATCATTTTAGTCAGTGAGACGTCTCGTTGCATCTTCTACCGACCTGTCTGAGCCGGCTGCCAGCTTGTTTTGATCTAAAATGGTCTCCTGGATGCAGTCCTCCAGCATGCGCACATGAGTGTCGCTGTATGATAAAACACAAGAGCAGCTTGGATAAGCAATGTCCTTTACATAACAGCATACAGACATACAAAACAGTGAATATACGCAGCTGCACAGGGGCACATATTTATATACATTTGCTTACAAAGTAAAAATGTTCCACTTAATGTAAGTATGAGTCAAATAGAGCTGGAACAAAACATCGACCAGGTATCAAGGATTAAGGTTATGCCAACTAGGAAAAAGCTGAACTCCTGCTTCATTAATTTAAATATCTTTTGGCTTCTTTACTTCTCTATGACAGGAAACTGAGTATCTTTGGGTTGTGGAAAAACAAGACATTTGAAAAAGTCAACTTAGGCTTTGGGGAAAACTGATCAGCATTTTTCAGTGTTTCCTCACATTTTATAGATCAAACAACTACTTGGTTACTCAAGAAAATAGTCGGCAACAATAATCGTCATTATTGTTGCAGCCCTGGAATAAAAGGGTGCTTCTTTTCTCGTCTGTTCCTCTGGGCTCTCTATCACCCTCTTAGCTCTGCATACTGTGCAGTAATGTTCACCGCTTGAGTAGCGATAAGAATGTAATTATTGTCTAAAATTAGCTTACAGCCTTTACCCACATTGTACAAGGTTTCTGGTACAATCAGTCCTCTGACTGACACCATGTACATTTGTGACACTGGGAGAGAGGTACTGATTCAGCTCCATTTTTAAGGTTGTTTTGGATTGCATCATACTGTTACGTGTTTGTAATATTTTTGATCCTGTATATAAACAAATGAGGTGAACAAAGATCTGATACAAAAATCTGACGTGGATTTTAGCCAAATCTACATCATCTGATCAATGGCTACTGTTGATCTTCAGGCACGATAACGACAGTGTTTACCTTTTAGCATTAGTGAGGCAGATAATACGGCCTCTGTTGGCGACTCTCTCAGCTGTGTCCATTAGAGCGGTGCGCCTCTCGTGCTGCAGCTCTGTAATCTTGCATAACGACTCCACGGCAGCAACCAGCCCGTGTAAGATGCTGCAACACTCGGGGTCCTCACGTGGGTTTGGAGGCCCAACAGCTGCCAGAGCTGACATGAGCTGCAATGAGGGAGAGAAAACATTTAATCCTATTACAAGCTTATTTCTGAAGAAGCGTTGTGTTGTTTATTGGAAGTGCGGCTCCTCTGCAAAATGTGACAATGCAAATACAATCATATTTAGCTGGCTCGTTGAATTGTTTTGTCGTGGATTACCTCATGAGTGCTCTGATCTTCTCGCCTCCAGCTGTTCAATATGTGGAACTCTGAATCACTCACAATGTAATTAATCTGTAGAATAAAAGTAAAATGTCAGTGGCATTGTTGATGTCACAGATGCACTATAACTAAATTGATGAAAACTTCTCAACCACATCTCATACATTAGACATCCCCTCAGAACCACAACTGTCTTTTCCAACCATCTCCAGTCGTTTAGCTGCAGCACTTAAGTGAAACCACATTTCAGTGCGACTTAAAACCAAGAAGCTAACCAGTTTGTCCTTTGGATAAATATCGTAGAGGATCCGACAGTACTCCATGGAACACTCCACAGCACAGGTCCACAGTGATTTGGACACAGGGGCCAGAGGGATGACTCCTTGAGCTCGGCTCTTTGTCAGCACATCGCACTCCACCTGCTGACGACTGGACTCTGCCATGTAGGGACAATGGTCCACCACAAAGACAGTCTTGTGTGCCACTGAGAACATCTTCATTTTGCAAATCTTTAGTGTGCGCTGAACTGTAAGAGTAACAGAAGAACGGATTAATGTTAAGCTCTGCATACATTTTTCATCCTCTGTTTTCTTAAGCTGTTTAACTTAAACTGTAATCTGATGTTCCCCTTTGTCACAATCAAATATACAGCAGAGTATAAACAAACTAAACATAAATATATACACAGCATGCAAAAGGTATTCTGTTCTGACTTAGAGGAACAAGTTAAAAATCAACAACCTCATTAACGCTACACAATGCAAATGACAGGTACACTGAGTTGTGATATCTGGTCTATGACCCCTCTCTCAATCTGCTCTTGTCAATTCCAAAGAAGTGAATACTTTGTTGTTATTGGAAATCCATTCTGTTCTAAAGATGCTGTGTGTTGGAACAACAGATACATATTCACCTACTTCAAAATAATGTTCAGGATTTAAGAACCATTACATGCTGTGTTTACATTTTAGTCAGTATTCAATATTTAATCCATATTTCCTGGGAATTGTTGTGGCACTGGAGACTAACATTAGTAGGAATGACTGCCTTAAACAAGCTTGGTGTGTATGTAAGAGCAACTGATGAATAATATTTTTGTGTCTGATCATTTATAAACCTCATTTTTTATGGGATCATTTTGGCAATTAAGCAGCAGCAACTCAAACCTGACAAATGCATTCCCACCAACATCTTAAATAACAATACAATGGTTAAAAATATTACAGCATACATTACAACAATCAAGGCGATCCCCAACAATGCGATTAAAAAATATATATATATATATATGCACGAAAGTAAATACAAGCTAATGTGACCAAGACCTAGAATAAACCCTGTGTGAATTACATTGTATTTGTCGTATGAAGTCTGTATGACACCGGTCACATTCAGGCTCGATCCATTTTAGTTTCACTGCTACACAATTAAGTGGGCGCTTACAGGAAGTATCATTTGACGTGTTAACTACTGCTTCATTTAAATAAATTTCCATATTACCTGTTGGTCAGTGAACGTCAACTCACCTGGAGAAAAAAAAAAACTTGTCAGTGGACCGCTTTCCAATTAAAAAATAATTTGAACCGTCTGAACACTTCCTCTCCTTTGGGTGAAGTTTTAACCGTTATAATTGTTATCCGGCTACTAAACGAGGGTCCTAATCAGCCTCAAGACATGTTAATCGCCGACCGTTAGCAGGCTAACATGACACGACCTGCTCCAGTAGCATGCATGTCACTGACCGCCGCGTTAGCCTGCTAGCTAACACTAGCCGGAATCATTTGTTTGCTGATTCACGTTTATAACCGCCGATATGCACATTTACTCATTGTGGCATCTGTGTGATAGTAAGCTGAACTTCTGCCAATCAACTCACTTCCAAATTATCACAACCTAACTGTGTTTATCCATTTGAAAAGGAAAAGAGCAAACAATACACTTCTAGGCGTTGTAAGCTAGCAGGTTTGTTATTGGCGGAAATGTGTCCGGTGGTGTGCCGTCGCCGTTTTCCTTCCGCGAGTGGATAAACTACTGCGAGATGGTTCCTATCTCCGTTTGTCACCTGAGTTCCCCCTTTCGTTTGCGTCAAAGTTTACGACGGACACGAAGGGGGAAAAATAAAAATATTAACACTGATATTTTAAATATATTTTATTATCTTCTACTTCAGCAGAATGACTAGGGGCGACATTAACGGTTAAATCAAAGTCTTGCACGCGCTGCCCTGCTTCTTCTTCTCCGCTGGAGAAACCACGGAGGAGCGGAGCAGCAGTGATGAAAAGTGGGTTAAAATAACTTGTTTAAAAGTTGTTTTTGCGCCAGGAACACGTGTAACTTTCCTTGGACGTCGTAGAGGTGTTTGAAGTTGCAGGTAAAAACAGACTACATTCAGGTTTCCTCCTAAATTTGTGCGAAAGAAGCAGCTCGTTAAAAGCTGGAATGCTAAAAAAAAAAAAAACAATCTCAGCCAAAAGAACTTAATTAACATTTAAAAGTTATATGTTGTTCTTCTACGTACACATAAGTCTACGTGCTTTCATAAATAATTAATGTAACGTAATGAGCAGTGAGTTCAGCTAAACTAACTCGTGATGAATGTAGCGGCTCCAGTGGGCGTTAACGTGGCTTTATCAGACGCGTCTTGAACACTCTCCGCCTCCCTCCGACCCCACCCGATTCATTTCCATTCTCTCAAGTCACAACTTGACCAAACTTTGTGTTGCCGTAACTATGTTGAGAAATAAAACAGGAATGTACAGAGGACGGGGCTGCGCTTTAAAACCACTGTAACACTCCAGGACAGCGGCTGTTGGGGAATTGTTCTCGTGTTTCTTCTGTTTGTTTTTATTGTGATGTGACTGAAGCCCACCAGACCAGAGCTATGAGTGAAAACGACATCCTGGAGATGGACTCTATGTCTGACACCGAGGAGCTGCAGGGTGATGCAGAGCTGGGCATGGTAGACGAGGAAGTGGGTAAGAGAGCTGCTTTGTGTTTCGCAAGAGGTGTTGTTGCTTTTGTGTGCTTGTTGTGGGACCAAAGTGGGGCAAAGTCTGGTTTTTACACCCGCTGTTTGTCAGGCAGCTGAAATACAGATGTTAATCCATATTGTCTGTGGGCACTCACCACCTACTTATCCATCACTCTCTGTAGGTTCATCTCAACTTTCTTTCTTCTCTTTTTTTTTACAACTTAAAAAGCCTGAACCACAATCAAGCACCTTCACTCACATATTTATACAATTAAGTGTAATTTTGAGATACTTGTTTGTCACTTCTTTCTATGTTCTGCCGTTTACTTTCCAAACAACTGTTCACCAATGGGGGTGTGGCTCACACATTTTTACAGTCTCTAGCTCACGCCACAGCATCAGTAACATCAATTATAAATATGAGTTTATCAACAGTTCAACAAATACTCCCTGAAAACGAACTTTTTGTTTTGTAGATTTTAGATGTGGCACCTCAGAGAGGCTCCGGTGCGTGTGGAAGTGATTGCATCTCTCTACACTCTATTGTTATTTGGATTTTCTACATTCCTCACATTACAAACAGAAACTTCGCCGTTGAATAGAATTAGCCCTGGCTTGTCTTTAAAGCATATGCGACTACGGAAATCTCCGCTGACAGTACAGTATGCCATAGTGACTGTGGTAAAGGCGGGAAGGATTTCTCAATCTGTAAGCTCCTTTGTGTCTGCCTTGTCCACAACACTGACTTACTGTCTGCTATTACACACTGTATTTCTTTTTCTTTTTTCTCTTTTTAACTCAGTGTACTGAGAGACAAATGGTCCTTTGGGTTTATACTGATAGTTGTCAGTCATGAAGAACAGCGCCTAACCACATGGAAATGACCACAGCATTTCACACTGGTTCATAAAGGGCACGCCACAGTGCACTCTATTTTATGGCGCCTATTCTCCATTGTCATAAATTATTAATGTTCACACTTAGATGATACCGTGGTGCTCAGTACACTGGCACACATATTACTTTTACAGTTTGTTTCAACTTCCTAAAGTCCACAATGAACACACTGTGATGATTCAGGAAAGCTCACTCATATTTGACATCTAGCCCACACAGGCAACCTGACGCTTTACTCAGGCATGACAGAGATTCTCGAGAATAATGCATGTTATGGAAACAGCTACGTTTCCCAGGAGGAGGTGTATTGCTCAACCGCTCTTGTAAGGGATGTCATCTGCAGGAAGCATTTTTGCAATTATAATTAATGATCTGTAATTCTGTTTCACATGCAGAATACACAATTATAGGCTGTAACTGTGAATACTGCAGCAAGATCGTAGAGCTGATTCTGTTCCTGGAGAGGACATTAGACTCAGTTTCTACCAAATGTTAGGCGATTCCCCAGTGTTTGATTCAGAGAAGCATTTCCTGACATATGGTGAGAGAGACTCTGTATTAAACTAGGCATGTTAGCTTTTAGGCACTGTAATGCTGCTGCTGCTGCTGCTGCTGCTGCTGCTGCTGCAAAGAAAAAAGCTGTTTCTATTGGAGAATGGAGCCCATTTCCGTGTTTGTTAGGTTGGCCTTTTTATTTTTGTGCGCAGATATGGAGATTGCCCTCTAGAGAGGAAGTCAGCACTGGCATGCTGGGTTGTGGCAAGAAAACAGATTTTATTACTGGCAACATGTGGTGGCCGTAGATTTGACGTGCTTCTCAAGTGAATCACTGAGTCTCTGAAGGCTGCAGAGGTTTTGCAATGTCACGTCCATGATTTAGTTTCAAATTAAATGCATGAAAGCACAGAGAATGAAGAACAAAAGGTATGTAACTGTCTAACTAGTTGCAGTTTGGGCCGCATGTTATGTTACAATACTGACTTTCTACTATAGGAGGCTGTGGTGGAGTTCTGACTGTTTAAGAACTTTGGGAAAGGAAAGTCTCGTTTGATGAGCAGTGATTCCACAGGGAAGTTTCCCAGCGTGTTACTATGGCCAGTGTTTTGAAAACAACATCTGTCTTAAATTAGCTCTCTCATAGTCTTCTGCTTTATACGGAAAGATTACAGGACTTTCCATATTTAATGGTGTCATCTGTTTTGCAAAAAAAACGGTCCTTACAAAGCACTTCTGAGGCTTACAATAGAGCTTACAGTATTTGATTAGTTTTTCTTTTTTTTTTTTTTCATTTTGGAGTGGTTAGTGGTGTGAATACTGTATGCCGAGTATTTTGGGGAAGTGGAGCAGCAGACAGTAACCTTTTTTTCTTTTCTTTTTGCAGCGAATAATAAAACACCGTGGTAAGAGGGAGACTGTGAGCAAGCTTTAACAAAGTGGCCACAAGAGCGTGACGTTTAGGGGAATGAATAACAGTCTGTGCTGCTTCAGTGAGCGGCACCGCGGTAGGCCGTGAATATTGTTGTGGTGAGAAAGAACCTGTTCAGGAAACGCAGCGCATGAACAAAAAAAGACTTGACAGATGTGCAACAACTCAATGGCAAATGATGGCTAAAGAGAACTAAGGTGACTGTGTTGCTTTATAGGGCTTACTTCAGCAACATTATACAGGGTTTCTTTCAGTACACATGTACACCACAATATAAAACGTGTGTCGACAATGATAACTCCCTTTATGCTGCATTTTGAATAATCTGTGAAATACGTTGGTTCACAATAAGTGTTTTGTTGTGTGTTTTTCTTTACCTATTTTTAGCTTTAGATAACTTGTTCGCTGACAAACTGATGTTTTGTCGTCCTTGCAGTTAGTAGTGTTACATTCACATATAATAACTTACTACAATACATACCTTTAAATGTTGCAGTAAGTGTTATAAGCTCACTGTAGTTGATCCTTTCAGTTTCTCAAATACTATACAACCTGATTTCTTAATAGTCACTTTAGACAAATAGAACAATGTTTAAAAATAGTTCCACATTCATTTCATTTTATTTTGAAACCTCATGATTTATTTTTTTCTGAAAACGGATGTTTAAACTAGTTTTATATCATAAACCAGTGATTCCCAGTCAGGGGTACTTGTATCTCACTTCTGCGGTGCCAATGGATGCATGGAAAGATTAGCTCAAGTCATCTGAAAAACAGAAGTTACAATTTATTCAAAGCCCGAAGTTTACCTGAGTAGGTTCCGTTAACAGTTAACCAAAAGTACGGATAATCATTAGAAATAGACGGCTAGAAGGAATGCATGAATGATTAAAACAGATATATAAAGATGAAAAAGTGACGAAGTGGTTCATATAGTTAACAGTTGAAATTGTTTCCTAATGGTATGAATAAATAGTTGAAACTGTTTGCCAAAGATATGGATAAAAAAAAAGAAAAGAAAATTGTTATCAAACAGTATGGGTAAACAATACATTTTTTAGCTAAACATAATGGATAAACGGTTGAAATAGGAATGTAAAATAAGGAATAAACTGTTAGAAATCGTTATCTAAAAGTATGGATTAACAATAGTTTAAATTGATGAATAAAAAGCTCCAAGTAAAGTGACCTGAACATTGACAGTTCAACTAGAAGAAACAATATTTTAACAGTATTCACTTTTGTATAAAGTGTTAATTAACCTTCGGTTTGACATGAGTTCAGATGAATATATTTGAACATGAGGGGTTAATGAAGCAGTCAGTGTGACAAACCTGTGGAGGTACGTCAGAGGAAAAAAGCTGGCAACTGCTACTTAACTTAAAACACAGCTAAACTAATGACAGAATGAGATAAAACATTTAAGATAATGCAAAATTTGTACAGGTGTAATCGAAGTTGATATCATTTTGAAAAAACAAAACCATAATAGATAAAAATAAAAAAACACACATTGCAAATCACATATAGAAAAAACAATAAAACTCGCCCTGTCATCATTTTTCCAGACATGCCACCAGTTAACAGCATGTTATAATCTGTTATTGGCCTCTAATATCAGGCTGCCAGTGTGCCGGTCAGGCTGTGGTTCTGGGTCTCTTTGATTATTATCATTTTTGTGTTTCTATTCATGTGTCTGCTCTTTTTTTCACAGTTTACCCTGAAGAGTTTTTACCAACATATCATAGTATTCGAGAAGGAGCAAAAGTAGCCACAGCACAACAGGTGAGTCAGCACTATCTGTTGATGTCAACTAGCTGCATATCAACAAATGTAATCCACTGGTATGTGTTTGGGTATACATACTAAATGTTGTTGACTGGCTGATGGATCCTACAGGACTTGTATTTACTAATATGATTATAAAAAGTGTGGCCAAAATAACTTACCTTGGGCATTTCTCGTGGAAGTTATATCGAGCTGAAAGAAAGCAGACAATGAAGCTACTGTAACGTGACGCACAGTTGTCAAATATAACTACACAAAACACACTTTAATAATAATGCTGGGTGTCACAAGTCTGGTTGTGTGTGGAGAGAGAGAGAGAGAGAGAGAGAGATGGGAGAGGTAAAGGGCGAGTGTTGTAATATTTGTTGACTCTTCCCATCTCTCCTGCATGGCCCACAAAACCACATAATTGGGCTTGTCAAGGTCAGTATTTACCAGGATCTCTGCCCAGGTTGGCCTCTGTCGTATATTCAACATGTATGACATTATGGAAGAGGAGCAGTATGAGTTTCAGGCTGCAGACTTACCTGATGGGCCTTGTTTTTGCCCTCAGGCAGAGTTTAACGGCAAACCCGACTCCCTGTTCTTCAATGACGGTGTGCGGAGGATCGACTTCATCCTGGTGTATGAAGATGAGGAAAAGAAGGAGTTTGAGAAGAGGCACACATTCCAGAGGCGCAAGGTAGGTTCCTTATTTTCTAAATTGTCTGTGTTGGTTGCTTGAGTACATGATATTAAATCTGCAGGTGTTGTAAGTACTGCAAAGTATATACATTTTACTACAATACCTGTGTACAGTTGAGAGATGATAGGAATGTGAACATGACGTACACCAAGATTCTGCAAAGACAATAAATTCTGATGTGACAATGAAGAAGTTATGTATAAATATTGAAATTAGAGCTTTTTTTTTATAAGATTTGGTGTCAAATCATGTGTGTTAGTGAAAAATATAACTGTATTCTATGAATGGAGATTAAAGTAACTGTGGAGTTTGCTTAAAACATCAGTTTAATATCATGTTCACTCAGTAAAAGTTGACCGAGGACATCAATTGTATACAAAGTAATTTCATTAAGACATATTTATTGTGCAATGAATTGTAAAGTTATTCTTAACTACTTCAATGGACAAATACGTCTGTATGTTTAATTACTCATACAAACTATATTGACTCATCCTTATTTGTAAAAGGAGTTTTTATTTGCACCAGGAGAATAGTCTATGACGTTATATTAGTTACTTGTGACGGTGTATGTATTAGGCTGAATATTCTTTTAACTGTTACTTATCCAGGAAATGCAACAGCACACTTTAATAGTGAAAAGCGATTTCTTTCCTTTAAGTCAGTTGTGTTGAACTGAAGGACGCTGAGACATGCACTTTCATAGCAAGGCGTGTTTGTTGCTACCAGCATCTTTCACAACAGGTTTACTTGAGGTATGTGCAATGTAATGCTTGGAAAAACAGTACAGCCGCACACTTCAGAGAACTGAAATGTCACAACTTTAACCCTCAAGTGATTTTGAAATGGAGACAAGGTTCTGTGAAGGCTAAAATCTTATATCAGTAATAATTGGCAAAGCTAGTAAGAAATGGCAAACAATTAGGTCTTTAAATTGTGAAAAAACTTGCGAATATATGACGTGATAGCTCCAGTAGATAATTGGTATGTTGTGTCTCTGCAGCAGCTATGCATGCAGTTACTGGTTATAGACAGAACACATGCCCTGTAATACAGATCTCCGTCTGTAGAAGCTGATCAGCCTGTTTCAGCCAATTCCTTGTAAAAGGTGGGCTGGCAGAGCTAATAAAGTCAGAGCTTATGCTTTTGCACAACAGATTCTCCTCCGGGACTGAGCCAATTTATCATCCGTAATCATTCCAAACCAAACTAATTCCAGCGTGGAAGGGCTCCACCAGGCACTCCCTTCATTTGTTTTTTCAGAGCCAAACTTGGGTCAAACTGTTTCATAATATTTTTCTAGAAAGGAGGGATTCAGTTCAGATGGCAAAATAGTTCGCTTTAAAGATGTTCTTTTTATGTTTGTGTAAAATGTCATACTCTTGTGGTATGTCACAGAATCATCTGACTTTAACAGGATTGGCCCAAACAAACAGTAAAGGTATTTCAGCTTTGCTTTGTCAACAGTTACACAAAGGTTTTCGTTATAATGCTGCTGGCAAGGACAATTAAACATCAAACATCAAAGGTTGTGTTCACTCAGAAAGACTGAATTGTCTTGAATGATAATGACCCGTACTTGTCAAAATAACTTGTGCTACCTTTTCTATTATCTGAATATTTTCCAAACTTTTCCTACAAATTCATCTTTCTGTAATATTTTCTTGTTCTGTGTAATATAATATATGGTGATATTCCGTCAACAGAAACCTGTCTAGTGACCTCCTCCGACCTGCTGTATTTACATTCCTGAGGTTTATATATTGTGTAAAGAATGAATCTATTATGGAAATGGAAATATCTGATTAAATGAGCTGCCAACTCTAAAATTTGTCCTCGATCAGTTTTGTTAAAGATCATCTCAAACAACACTATTGATTAAGTTTAACCATGTAAAGGTTACTAAAGTGGAAATACATGTCTTCCAGAAACACGTCTGCACTCATTCAGATTATTATCTATTGCATTCCTTACACACTTTGGCACAAAAGTAGTGTATACAGCAGAACAATTTGGATCATAGTGCTTAGGAGGATGTTTGAACTAACATCTTGTTCAACTTCTTTTCTGTCTTCTCTGCAGAGGCGGCGAGAGTACTTTGAGGCCAGCCTGATGAAGATGGGCATGGAGTTAGAGGCTACACCATCTGTAAGTGGAAATCCTTGGAAGTTGTTGTTTTCCTTCCTTCCTCTTGTACTTCTACTAAAGCTTCTTTGTGTTCTGCAGGTAGTAGATGACAAACTCACATTTGTGAAAATTCACATGCCGTGGGACGTGCTGTGCACCTACGCTGAAGTCCTACACATCAAGCTCCCCATCCAGGTCAATGACCTGTCCTCCCGCCCCTCCCCGTGGCGATATTTCTCCTGGATCGCGAAGCCCTTCTCTCCCAACGAAGACCTGATCAGAAAGGAGACCGAGTTCTTCACGGCACCCTTTGAGAAAGACCGTCTGGACTATTTCTATGTCAAGGACAGAGACATCTTCTTCACTTCATCGATGAGGAGCAGGATGGCAAGTTACCCATGTTGTAGCAGTTAGTTTAGGCTGCCTGCAAGTTTTTTTCGTTGGTTTACTTTTAGAAATTGAGTTACTCTAAGGATCTGTGTAGGACTGTAAACATCCTTTGCTCATAGATTTCATATTAAAATATAAAAAGAGCAGCTAAAAAAAAAAAGCTTTAAAGTTACAGAGATCATGCTGTCTGTGGTGTACTGAAGAAACATTTTAACACAGTGAACATATGATAACACGACATAAAGATAGCGTTTAAGCTCTTTTTCTTTTCCCAGGCATATTACATCCTGAGCCGAGCACCTTATGAAATACGAGGAACCATAAAGAAGTTTGGCATCACCAAACTGCTGGATGGTGGCGTGTACAAAGCTGCCTATCCTCTCCATGACGTAAGTAATAAAGGGTTTCTACTTTTTCTTTAGCTGACTGCACACTGTAGTGTTTTGGTGACATTAGTTTACAGTACATGTGTTAAACTGTAATGTGTGTGTGGCCTCTTTGTTTTCAGTGCAGGTTTAATGTCAGGTCCAACGAAGAGGGCTGCCCCAATGAGAGGTATCTGCTCTATGAAGAATGGGCTCATCCCAAAAGCTTCTACAAGACGCAACCACTTGACCTCATAAGGTGGGAAAACACTCTGTGTTACATTTAAGTGCTACAAGTCTCAGTGTTTCAGTTGGGAAAAAAGCAGAAACCCAGTCATGTGCATTATCAGTAAAGATGTGTACAGTGAGTGTTTGACAGCAGAGCAAAATAAATCGTTTTTATGTCTTCGTCCTTGTACGGTGATCTTTATTTCCCGAGGACTCCAGTGAGCAGCAGAGCCACAGTAGTAATCAGTATGAATATGTTTTTATTTCTACAGGAAGTACTATGGGGAGAAGATCGGCATTTACTTTGCCTGGTTGGGTTTCTACACAATAATGCTTGCTCTGGCTGCTGCTGTGGGACTTGGCTGTTTCATTTATGGATACACCACTCAAGAAACCAGCACCTGGAGGTACTGCACATTAATGACATGTATATAATGTTTGGGGAATTTAATTTCACCTACAAATGAGCACGAGAAGCATTCCTCACATTGTTGTTAATCTTTGTTTCCTTTAAAGATTTCATTCTTTAATATTCTCTGTTCTGTGTTTTAAATATGGCAGCAAAGAGGTGTGCGACCCTGATATAGGAGGAAAGCTTGTAATGTGTCCACAGTGCGACTCATGCAAATACTGGACATTAAACAGCACCTGTGACACTTCAAAAGTGAGTTTTATTTTATGTTAACAGTTAACGTTCTTGATAGTTAATATATCAATATGATTGTTTTTTTTGTTTGTTTTTTTACCTTCATGTCAACAAAACATGTGACTGATATTTTACCTTTTGACACAGAAACAGTTGTTTGTTTGTTTTTTTTTTTTTTTTTTGCTGATTTAGATGTAATCTCCATGTTTCTTTTTGTATTTTTTTCTAGAAACTTTGCATATTTGATAACTTTGGAACTTTGGTGTTTGCAGTCTTCATGGCAGTCTGGGGTAAGTTTGAAAGAGTTTCACCAAGACATTCGTTTTCATCAGTTCCACAGGAAGCTAATATCCCTGCTTAGTCACAAGTTTATTTATCATGTGTTTGTTTTCACATCATCTTTGGTAGTATTAAAGGCAAAAATAACTTGTTTGGTTACTACACTTAACAGAGCTACTTATGGCGGAAGCCACAGACAATACTCGGTATATAGTGCTGCTTCCTGCCCTCTCATGATTGCCTGCCTTGTTTTTTTCCTGCTTCTGATCATTTTCTCCAGTAACTTTGTTCCTGGAGTTTTGGAAGCGCTACCAGGCAGAGCTCGAGTACGAATGGGACACTGTGGAGTTTCTGGAACAGGAAGAGCCACCTCGCCCAGAATATGAAGCCAAATGTATCTATGAGAGGAAAAACCCAGTCACAGGGGTAAATCACTCAATGATCTCGATCTCATTGGAAGAAAGCTTGTTTACTCTTTTGTTCAATGATCACAAAACATAACAAGGAAAAATTAGGATGAGTATTAAACAAGAATTCAGACAGATTTTCTCTCCTATTCAGAGGTGCTATGTTTAAAATGAGTTTTATGCTTTGCCATGTTAAAGTATTTCATAGCATTTCTGTGTGATTTAGGTGAAAGAAAAGGTTCCATATACAGCCTGTGGACGATGTGTTCGGGTGTCAATAGGAATGGGGACCGTCTTGTTCTGGGTAATGTAATTAAATTCCATATTTATTTTTATTTTTTTTGTGGTACACTTTGATGTCACTGATCTGCAATTTCCCAACAATTTCTCTGGAAGAAAAAACATCTCCTAAATTTGTTACTATAAGTGGAACAGTTTTTCCTGATAGAAAATGTCAGTTTCACCCTCTGAACGTCAGGCAGTTTCTGGGCTTTGTTTCAGTTCAGCCAGATAGTTCCTGAATTTTTGTAACATGACTGCTGATTGCAATTAATTCCCTAATGTTTTTACAGAGCACAGAAGTTTTGCTTTTTACAGGATCTGGGTAGTGCAAACGGTTTATTTAAACGAGACATGTAGAATGAAAGGATTTTGATAAAATGTCATGGTTTTAGGCTTAGATTTGTTCTAGTTTTTTGACAGGACACTACGTCACAGATGCAATAGTAGTTGTAGGACTGTCGGAAATTAGACCATCCAATGATTCACTCATTTCTGATGAGTGATTCTTTCTCCAACAACTGGTGTAATTTTGCCAATTTAAAAAAAAAAAAAAAAGATCAAATGCTTTTCAAACCCACTGGCAAATTTTGGGGTTCAGAGGGTCACCCAGTGTAATTATGAATTCATTAATTTCTCATTTATTTTTGGGAACTAAACCTTCCATATATATTTAATTGTATGCTAGCATGTAGACAAACAACAGTAGGTTTAGCTGACATGCTCACTGATTATAGACACTCGTACTTTTTCTGTATTTAGAGTTCTTTTTTTGAAATAACTCAAAGTTATTCGGACAACCATCCATCGAGTTGTAGGGTAGGGCTCACACCATATGGGCTAAAATACCCGCAGCAGCTGAGTTCCCTATCTGATCCTAGCTAGCACCCCAGCAGGACTTCATTCCCCTGCTCTCTTTCTCTACATATCCTCATTAACTAAATAAAGTCAAAAATGTTTAAAACAGAATGTAAAATAATCCTGCCAAATGCATTTTGTCCTTTAGATTATGTTGATCCTGGCGTCCATTGTGGCCATCACTGTGTACCGCCTGGCTGTCTTCATCACCTTCTCATCTAAACTCAGAAACACCGACCTGAAGGATCTGGAGCCATTAAAGGAGTATGTGACGCCTCAAATGGCCACTTCTGTCACAGCCTCACTCATCAGCTTTGTTGTAATTATGATCCTCAATGTTCTCTACGAGCGAGTCGCCATCTGGATCACAGATTTTGGTGAGTTTGACTTGAGACTGTACTTAAACTCTTTCACGAGTTGAAAACTGTTTCGTCTCTAATCCTCTCATATCTGACACAATAACAGAGCTTCCACGGACCAAGACAGACTACGAGAACAGCTTGACTCTAAAGATGTTCCTCTTTCAGTTTGTCAACTATTACTCCTCCTGTTTCTACATCGCCTTCGCAAAAGGGAAAGCAGTTGGCTATCCTGGAAAGCCTGTTTATCTCCTGGGAAAATACAGGAACGAGGAGGTACTGTTAGTCCATCTAGCTGTTACATGTCTACCGACTTGTTATTCTTGGCTCTTAATGTGTGTCTTGCTTCTGCAGTGTGATCCTGGTGGTTGTCTGATTGAGCTGACAACTCAGCTCGCTATCATCATGGGTGGAAAAGCCATCTGGAACAACATCCAGGAGGTCTTGTTACCGTAAGAAGACAGAATCTTTTTTACTGCATTTAAATTAAGTAGCCCAATGGCAATTCCATATGTCTCCGTGACTGTAAACGGTGTCAAAGCCTAAATCTTACCTTAGCTCTCCATTGTCACACTGCATTATCATTACAGTTTCTTAATGTGATCTTTTCCGCTCCTCCACAGGTGGGTGAAGAATTTGATTTTTCGCTACTGCTCCAGTGCAGCATCTGAAAAGGTGATTCCTCGCTGGGAGCAGGACTACCAACTCCAGCCCAGTTCAAAGCTTGGACTGTTCTATGAATATCTTGAAATGGGTAAGATGGGAAACAGCCTTCAGGCCCTTTGTATTGTTTACAGGTAGAAAAGTATGAATCACTAAATATACCAAAGAAGATACTGTAAGTGTAAATTGTACAACCTGACTGACCTGACTAAGCATGATTAAAATTACTCTCAAAATTAGTTATCAGTTCACTAATTCCAAGCACAATTCTGTTTGGTGCTGACAACACTATCTTGTTCCTTACAGTCATCCAGTTTGGCTTCGTTACCCTGTTCGTGGCCTCCTTCCCTCTGGCTCCGGTCCTGGCTCTGATCAACAATCTGGCTGAGATTCGGGTTGATGCCTGGAAAACCACAACTCAGTTTCGCCGCATAGTGCCAGAGAAGGCCCAGGATATAGGAGCCTGGCAGCCCATTCTTCAAGGCATCGCCATCTTAGCCGTGGCAACAAATGTACGTCGGTGTTTACACTCACGTACTACTGTATTAGAGAAAGATGTAAAATATTTTGCAATCTTCAGTAAATCCAACATTTGAAAGCACAATGTTCAGTTTTTGTTTCCAATACAATGCAGTCAAATGAAATACTACAGTAGTCAAGGTTTATAACACTACATATATTGGAGTCTACACTCATCAAAACACTGGAAATATTGTAAGCTGTACAAAAGAAGGATCTGCTGCAGGACTTGAGAGTTTATGTATGACAGCACAGGTGTACCTACTTCACAGTGACTCACTGGTTTCTCTTCTGATAGCATTTTTTTCGAATATCCACTTCTGCCAGATGTATTGTGCAAGAACACAGTTTGCCATGACCTCATTCATGCAGAGGCACACATACCATTCACAGCCAGTTTGCTGCTTTCATTGCCTTCACTTTTGTCTCAACAGGCCATGATCATTGCTTTTACATCAGACATGATTCCACGGTTGGTGTACTACTGGTCCTTCTCTGTGTACCCGTATGGAGAGCACCCTACGAACACCATGGAGGGCTACATCAACAGCTCCCTGTCCGTGTTCAATATCAATGATTTCCACAGCAATTCACTCATCACCAACACTTCAGTGCCCCCCAACTTCAGCACCTGCAGGTAAAACGACTGTTTCACTTTTTCCCTTGTTAAATTGTGGAGAAAGCAGCAGATAGTCTTAGTAATGATCCATTCTCTTTTACGTTATCACTTTAACTTTATTAAGGTTTTATTTTTTCAAAACTATTCCTTCTTTAGAGAACTTTAATGCTTTTAATTATTTATTATGATTAAAATGTCTTTCCTAGACAAACCAATACTATATTTTTAACTGAATCTCTGGAAAAATACTAAGATTATGACAAACAAGACTGAACTGATGACATTATTATCATTAAGTTTTTTTTATAAACTGATGTATCACACTGAGAGAAACATTTTTGAGTGGCACAGAAGCATCATGCATTTATGGAAGAATCAGCAGGCCAGCGTCCCTGTAATGAGATTTATGTCTGTAAATTGCATTCAATAAAATGAAGAGACGATGGTGTGATAGCAACCTTAGCATCAACAGAGACAATCCCTGCGAGCATGTGTGTGATTACCTGATTGGTTCACAGCTTAGGGATGGTATTTAAACAGACTGTTTGACCTGTGAAGTCGAGGAAGTCGATGAACTGGGAAGTTGAGGATCAGTTTTGTTCAGTGCTGCTGGTTGACATTAACACAGACTTGAAACAGGGAACTTCAGGCACCATACAGGGAGGAAATTTGCTTTGTCTTCACTTTTGGAGGCTTATTGATGGTCATTAGTCCGAGCTTGCACTTGCTCTGTTATATTGATCATTATCTTTGTTTTATTTTATCATATGCAGACAGAAAACAGGAAAAAAAAGCTTTGTAACTGAGTAATATCATGGATTTTGTGTGGAAAGTCAATGGGGCCTAAAAAAACTATTAAAAACTTTTCTCTTTTAGGTATCGAGATTTTCGCTTTCCTCCTGGACACCCCAGACAGTACGAGCACAATGCCTATTACTGGCATGTGATTGCTGCCAAAATGGCTTTTATAATTGTTGTGGAGGTGAGTATAAACAGGAAACTTTCCTCACTATAAAAATAGGATTGATCCATTAATTATTAAGTATATTAATGGAGGTGTCTGCTTCTTCTTTTTCCTCTCCTCCCAGCACATTGTTTACTTCACCAAGTTCATCCTGTCCTACGTGATCCCTGATGTCCCGTACGCTGTCAAAGAACAAATCAAACGAGAGAAATACTTGACCCAAGTTATCCTCCATGAGACCAACCTTAAGCTGGTGACCAGACGTTTGAAAACCGTCGAAGATGAGATTATGAGCAATATAGAGGCAAAAGTTGCCAAGGAGGAGATTGAGCTGGATTTCTGACAGTAGGTGAAAATGTATGGAAGAAGACATCACACCTTTTCAGGTGTGCTACAAAAACAAAAAGTTCTTCCCTTATGCTGTACATCTATGATTACCAAGTTTTTGCAGCATCCACCTACATCTGTTCCAGTACTGATTAATACCCTGTGAACCAGAGACAAAATTAGACCTGAAACAAGCCACAAACTTTGTTATGAAAAGCTGTCTGGAAGAAGGTGTCTTCCTTGAAGAGCTGCTGGACAAAGAAACGAGGAACCACTGTTGACTGGTCTGCATCCCAAACCACTGTCATCTTTAACCACTTCGTGTGTTTTGCTTAAGTCAGGCTGGAAAAAGAGCAGCTAGTTGATCTGACCTCTATCATTTCTAAGAGTGAACTTTTTCTAGTGGAATTAGGTGAAATAATCCTGTTAGACTTAAAAACATACAGTAATAGCTGACACCACCGAGTGGGACAGTTGATATGAAGATCTTTTGAACCACTTCAACAACAGCTTTTGGCACTGATCTTGAGTTAGGTGCTATTTGCTTAAATCTGAAAGCATTTTTGAGTTTTAACCCTCTGAATTAAAAAAAAACAACAAAAAAAAACTCTACAATTACCCTAATTATCAGAGCAGCCTCGTTAAAGAAATATTCACAGAAATGTCAAATGTTTATATGATTTATTGCATTCATACATGTTTGAGTTCTCTCTACTTCTAGCCATAGTTGTACTGTGTCCATAGACATTCAGGACTTTATACTGCAGTGTAAAGTATGAGTCCACACACTTTACCATATACAAAAATGGCCAAAAAACTGCTTGGGGTTCAGAGGGTTTAACTATTCAGATGTAACGTTTATTAATTTTACACAACAAAACCTTTAGTAAATACTTGAGCAAACACTGACATTAGGCGCAACAAAAGTTTCAGCAGGTTATCGAACCAGCTGGGTGTTTTATGTAATGATGTTTACAATCAGAATTGGATGTAAGAGCAAAGAGAAGCAGGGATACTAAATCAGAGCCCTCCACTGTGAAGCTTCACCATAATGCAACGTCCTAACGGTGTCCACTTACTAGTTTTCTTTCCGGTCCTCTCAGTTCTACCACATGGTCTTTATCAGCAGATGGAACCAGCTGACCTGTCGTTGTTATGATGAGCTGTAGCACTTGTATGACTTCCAGTGTGTTTTAGCTTTATAAGAATGATAACAGTGAGGGTGAAAGACAAATCTGCTAAGGCATTCTTAAATCTTTTTTTGTACTTTAGTGCCTTTCAGTCTTCTGACTATATATATTTTAGCTTTGCTTCATCAGCCTGCAGTGCTGCCAGTAGCATCTCCCTCCGTCCATTCAGCTACGCGTTGCAAGCTCAGAGCTCTTACTGACAGGGAGTGCACTGCAGAGACATTCCTTTAGCCATAAAATATCAGTATTGCGAGATGCAAATTTGCACCACTTTTGAATGCTATGCGACGTTTAACTCAGACCACAGAGCCGAGGTGATCTGTCAAACGGTTCATATTGTTATACAGAGATAATTAGACTGTTCATGAACTAACCTTTTACTACATCTTTGAGCTAAATGTGCTTCAGATTATACTCTGTAAGCTTTGTGTTTTATCACTTTTGAGACAATCACATTAAGTTTTATTTGGAAATAAACTCGTTTGACAGGTGAAAACTGTGGAAAAGCTTTATGTCAAATGCAGTTCAGTTCAGCCTGTGTTGTGTAAATAAAATGACTGCAGCTGTGTGACGTGGATGGTCAAGGATGTGAGTATAGTCTCTCTTTCTGTTCACATGTACTCACGGTTTATTTTCTAGGATTATACACAATGCAGTAATCCTCCTGTGACCACCTCTGCTGTATTATTACTTCACTTTGTTCTAAACCATGGTACTATAACCAACATGTATGCAGACAGTATCATATGTCAGCTGTATCTGAGGATGCATATCTGTTGTCTTTTTGTTTTATATTGTCATTAAATTGTTTTGTATAAAAAGTTTCCCTTCTGTGTCTTACATATAAAACTATAAAAAAGCTATGCAGATTTTAAAAATGTTATCCTTACATGTTTTATTTGTTTTCAAGTTGAATCACTGGATATCCATGCCTCCACTTTGTCAGATCATATCAGTTGTGTGTGCTGAGAAAAAAAAAAACACTAATAGCTACCATATCAGGCATTGTATCAGAATTCTATGGTATTTGTATTAGCTCCTTGGTGTCCTCCATTTGTACTCAGGCAGGGTTGTGAACACTCCTCGGACGTCATCTGGATGCGACGCAGGACCCGTTTTACTTCACGTGTGTTTAGTTTGAGGTGTAGCAGCCTGGAATAACAGTTTATATCGCATTTTTAAAAAAAAATATTTAATCTACAAACCGCACAGTTTATCCAGGATGAGCTCTCAGATCACTTGTGTCGGGTGGGTGAAACGAGGCGTTGCCAAGGAAACCCCGGACAAAGTAAGTAACGTTAGCATGTTAAGCTAGCTGGCTAACGTTAGCCGCCCGGTGGCTAATCTGTCAACATGGCAGAGACAAACTTAAACAGTTCCATTACAGATAATATCTAACCCCAGACTGTCATCTTAAACGCTGTCCTGTAATATTATGTACAGCATTTGGTGTTGTTAGCAGTACTTTCATGTTAAACGTTCGCTTTTTCAAAACTTACAAACGTTTTGCAAATCGTAGCATCCGAATCATTAGAAAAATCAGTATGAGGAAAAGTAATTCAGTTTCCATTTAATGGGAAAGCTGTACCTGAATAATTAAATGAATTCAACAAAACATGCTAGTATGTGCTTGCTGTGAAAGAAAGACTAAGCTGTATTTATTGTCCTAACTGGGACACCTTTAGATGCTAACAGTCTTATTCAGTGCTTATTTAAAGGTCCCATATTGTGCCTATTTTCAACAAATTAATCAAAGTTTCACATGACCTCAGAATGTTTCTTTCAATTTTTCATTTCCGTCACAGCTTTTATTTTACACCATCCAGTTTTTAAGCCTTACAGGCTTTGGAATAGCCTCACTTTCTCTTCCATTGACCTTTTGAAAGGCAAATCTCAAGATGTGCACGTTTTCAATGGCCTGTGGTTGCTTCTAGTGGTCAAAATATTTTAGTATTTTATATTCTTTCCATTAATTGTATTTTAGAATTTGATCTTAGAAGTTGTTTTCTGGGTTCGCCTTGTTATTTAGTATTTTATTTTTGCTTTGTCTTGTTTTAAAAATAGATTTTTCTGTATTTTACATTTTACGTAACTCCAGGTGGAGTTGAGCCAAGACGAGCTGCAGCGCATCATCGCTGAGACAAAAGAAGAGCTGGGGTATGTTAGAATAACAAAAACACACAATATGTTTTCATTCTCTCAAAATGTGTGCATCTTGTGCTCGTGAGTGAGAGCTGATGTTGTAGAACTGTTCCTCTGTATAGAACCTAAATGTTTTATTTATTGATTCAGGGAACTGGCAGCTGAGGAGGAAGAGGAGGAAGATGAGGGTGTGTCTCTTGAACAGAACCGCAGCAACGTCACAGCTGATGATGCTGAAGCTCCAAAGGATGAAAATGAGGAAGATGATGAGCTCGCAGAGTACGGCCTGGACAAATACGACGAAGAGGATACAGGTGGAGTTTATTCTTGTTGTGTTTGATGTGTCTCTCCAGTTCATTTGTGAATTCTTTACACTTTGCTGACATTCAGACTGACCCTGTTTCCGATGTTTGCCTCCATATTAGTGACGGCTAATCTTGGCGACAGCCTCGCTGGTCTCACAGTGTTCAGCTCCAATGAGGAGGATCCTTACATCACCATCAAAGACACAGTGAGAACTCTCAAAGATCATGTTTACGCATTTAGTGTGGTTCCATTTTCTACCTGATATAGAACATGAGGACTGTCAAAGACATTTAAAAAAATGTTATGAAACCTGTGGATAAGTCATTCAAATGTATCTTACTTTAGATTTCTATTTTCTTAAAAAGTTTACTCATTGCTTTTTTCCCCTCTAGGACCAGTATGAGCGAGAAGACTTCCAAATCAAGCCCGGTGACAACTTGATCCTGGCAGGCAAAGCAGAGAAGGACTGCTGCAATTTGGAGATCTTTGGTGAATATCTTTATACATAACTACAAGATGACAGTGAATATTCTTCAGACACAGGAAAATAACTTGTTTTTCACATGGTGTTGCACTACCAGTTTCTGAAAATGTTTTATTTGCTCCTGTCACATTTTTACTTACTGTGGATTCATTTTTCACTGCAATATAAAGTCCTGTACATCTATGGAAACAGCACAACCAGGACTAGAAGGAGAAAGAACTCTTCTTCATTACTCATAAATCTTCATGATTTTTCCTCATAAACGTATCACTGAGCTTTTTTTCTATATTTTTTTGTTTGTTTGTTTGTTTTTTAAATCATATATATTAACAGATGAATTTGTTACTTTACAGTTTATAACTCTGAGGAGGATTCTCTGTACGTTCATCATGACATTCTGCTGCCAGCGTATCCACTGTGTTTGGAGTGGCTGAACTTTGACCCAAACCCCGGCGAAGGAGCAGGTAAGAGCGTCCTGACTTTTGCTAAAAAACAACGTGTTTCTCAGTTGACTTCCTGGTTGAATTAAGGTGAAAACAAAGAACCAATAGTCTTTCCTGTGTGTTTTGACTGCAGCCAACTACGCCGCTGTGGGCAACATGACTCCTCAGATAGACGTGTGGGATCTGGATGTTGTGGACTGTTTAGAGCCAGCTTTCTCTCTGGGGAGTAAAAAAGCTTCCAAGAAGAAGAAGAAGAGCAAAAAGGTACCGAACTGTTCAGTGTGTTATAATGTTTTACAAACATCTGTATAGTGGGAGGGATGTTCGGTAAAGATGATTTAAGTCAGTCAGGAGTTAACTGTTTGCATAAAATAAGTTATTGGATGGTTTCTTTTTTTTTTTAGTGATTGAGGATTTAATTACTTTGTATTTGTTTACATTTGAGAGACAATATTAGAAACCCTCTGAACTTAAAACCTCACATTAGTGACTCAGCTGCAACAGTCAGGTGCCAAAAATTCAGAGAGTGTTTTTGCTGAACTTGGTTGAACTGCAGGCTGTTTACACGGAGCTGATAGGAGACAAGTATGTAAACAAATGAAAAAATGAAATATTGTAATATCTAATGCATGTATAGCCACCATTTTCCCCCCAGTATCACTAACACCTGTGGGAACTTGGAACTTTTTTTAAGTATCACAACATTTTAATCCGTAATAAATAATTCAACTTTCTTTCTTTTTTTTTAATGATATACGCTTTCATGAGTGTGTTATACAGCACGGGAGACTTGTAGTCACGGTTGTGCTGTTTCCATAGAGATGCAAAACTTTATACTGCAGTGAGAAATGAGCCCACAGTTAAATGAGACAGGAGACAGAAACGGCCACAAACTGCTTTGGGTTCAGAAATGTGAACTGTCATTATCACGTCGCTGTTTGTGTTTGTTGCCAGCAGGGGGCAGCAGCTGAGCCCGTGGAGGGCCACACGGATGCAGTGCTGGATTTATCCTGGAACAAGCTGGTCAGGTCTGTGCTGTCACTTTGATTTAGTGCAAGAAACGTTTAACCTCACACATATCATGAATTGCTCTTCTTATTGTACAAGAATAAACACACACCGCTACTGCTGCTGCTGCTGTGTGGATTTACAGGCAAATGTTTCAGGACAGGACAGCGCTGCAGGTCAGCATTTAACCAAAGTGAAGCTAGTTAATGTTATCTTTCATTTTGATAACTGAACTCTGATCTGCAGCCCTTCACTTTGTTTGCTCTCTTAATTGCAAGCAAGTTTTGTACATATTATTCTTTTTTTTTTTTGTAGCTACCATGTCTGCCATATGCATAAAGTGTCTTTGCTTATTGGTTACAGCATTTTTGCTTGAAAATGGTGAAAGAACATGTTGAATCAATTTGGGAAAGTAGAGTTTTAATGGGCATAAGACAGATGGAAATAAATACACACACTTCTGTAGATTTTTTTTAAATGAATCCTTATTGGGTTCTCAGATATTTTTTTATACATGTAGTTGTTATTATTTGTATTCTAATGCACCACTGAGTCTTTTACTGTAAATCAAATAAACGTTGTGTTTCTTAGGAACGTGTTGGCCAGCGGATCTGCAGATGAGACCGTTATCTTGTGGGATCTGGCTCAGGGAAAACCAGCCACAACTCTGCACAGACACACTGACAAGGTACACAATGAGAGATCATTAAGATATTTGTTCACCCCTTATATCAGGTCATACATCCTCAGAATTCACAGGCTCGAGCTCCAGTAAAACTAAATGTTTTGTCTTTCAGGTCCAGACGCTAAAATTCCACCCGTTTGAGGCTCAGACTTTGATATCAGGATCATATGACAAGTACGTTACACCCAGCATCCAGACGTTGTTTTACATGAACAGTCGGGTTTGAAGCTTTTACTTTCTCTCTTCAGGACAGCTGTTCTTTACGACTGCCGGAGTCCAGACAGCAGCTATCGGACCTGGAGGTTCAGCGGCCAAGTGGAGCGTCTGGTCTGGAACCACTTTTCACCCTATAACTTCCTGGTAAGTATCTAAAACCTCCTGGTAGGTTTTAAACGCCAAGCAGTTTCTGCTCTTGTCACATTTCTTCCCTCATTATGGGCTCATTTGTCTCTACAATATCAAGTACGTCTATCTAAAAAGCACAACTTAACTTGTGTTGTGTGTTTCAGGCCAGCACAGAGGACGGTTTTGTCTACTGTCTGGATGCTCGTTCAGATAAACCCGTGTTCACGCTGAGGGCTCACGATGAAGAAGTGTCAGGTTGGTAGAGAAATGTGTGTGTGAAGCAGAATTCACCATCATGTAGCTTTGTTTCTTTGAGCATTAGTGCATCAGAAAGTAAACCAATTTGGCTCAGCTGAGGAAGTGGTGACGCTGTTGGTCATGATTCATTTGGGAAAGCTGAACATTATTCACACACAATAGAGAAATGTGGGAAAACTTGTGGTCAGCTTGTTTTTCAGCCATTGTTTGAAACCATCTTTACTCTTGAGTGAAAACGGACAGTTGGAAGGCACCATCCAGCCAGCTTCAAACTTTATTTTCCAGTCTTCTCCATTTGTCGACACGTGTTAGAGTGTTAAGATTTCCTGTCTCAGCCCAAACACATGCAGGTGAAGTGAAATCAAAAAAAATTTCTTTGCCTGTGGCTGGATTGTAAAGACCCATTTTGACCCTGAAAACAAAAAACGTCGGTAAATTAGATTACTAAAGAATATTTCCTGAATTCACCTGCTCCTGTAATACCAAACAACTTGCTTCCTTGTGTTTTAGTGGTTATAAGTTCATTTTGTGTGTTTAAGGTGGATTTGATGTGTTTTAAAGCCACATAGGTAATATATAACCCTCTTTTTAAACCTCCTGCAGGTATGGACCTCAGCAGCCAGATTAAAGGATGCTTGGTCACCTCGTCAGCCGACAAACACGTCAAGATTTGGGACATTTTAGGCAACAAACCCAACATGGTCCACTCCCGGGACATGAAAATGGTAAAACTTAGATGTACAGCATGTCGATGTGTCACTGAAGGGTTGCACTTTCTTATTTAGTTATTTAGTCATGTTAAAGTCATGAAGATGTTCATAGTGTTCTCCTGTGAACAGGGAGTTCTGTTCTGCGCTTCATGTTGCCCCGACCTGCCCTTCGTCTACGCCTTTGGAGGACAGAAAGACGGTTTACGAGTTTGGAACATCAGTGACATTGCAGCAGGTACAGTTGGTGCTGAACCGTGTTTCTTTCATCACATTAACCCTCTGAACAAAAAGACGTTTCTTTTTGCTCCCATCACATTTTCACTCACTGTGGACTCATTTTTTGCTGCAACGTAAAGTCCTGCACTTCTATGGAAACACAACAACCATGACTAAGCAAATAAATGATGACTCGTTCAGTTTTTGGACTTCAGAGGGTTAAATGTTAAATAGTTTTGGATTTTGTTCTTTGAATAAAGGCTTGCTCCCAATTGTTTACTGCAATCTGGCAAATGTATTTCTTGCTCCGTGCATAGGAAACATGATGCAGTGCTCTGTTTTTATTTATGTAGTTAATTTAACAATGTCTACATGTAAAACTGTGTCTGTTTGCTTGTAGTGACTGAGGTGTTCGGAAGCCGAGACCGCTTGGTGGCAAATACAGGATCTCAGGCGTCGAGCTCTGCAGCCACAGCAGACATGGAAGTCTCGTAGTGATGCAGCAGCAGCTTGTAAACATGAACAAACTGAGCTTCTGTGGACACACGTGAAGCTGCTCTGCTTGTGCCTCATCGTTCACACTGCAGCGTCTGGTTCACAGGAAGAGGATTGGATTCGATGGCGCTGCACAGAAACACCGACCAAAGTGTTTGCAAACCAGGCTGAAAGGACTCAGACGTTTTTCAGCTTTTTGTTCAGAACAGTAAAGAAGCAGTGAAGCTTATATTCTTATTAATGAATTTATTTTTTGATTGTTAGGTGAAGGCAGTGATTCAGATATTTGAACTGTTCGTTACTTTAAGATCTGCTTCAGTTTCTTTGTACATTACAAATGTAATATGCTAGTAAGATTATTTTCACATGAAAAACCTCCAAGAACAGAGTAACAGTGTGGTGTTGTATACCTGGGTTTCCTGGTAATGAGTAAAGGTAAAATAAAACATTAAAAGAAGACATTTGGCCAGTGTCATGAAAAATGATCAGCTGTTTAAAGTGCTGCATATTCAATAAATAAAAGGAGTTTATAAAATTTGTAAATGTTGATTTTATTGTTCTTCCTGCTTCCTACAGAAGATATGATTTTGATCATAATAACTGGAGTTATTATAGTTATTGTTGTTGCTATTATTATTAGTAGTAGCAGTATTATTAATAATATTTTTTTTGTCAGTCATTGCATATGTAAATACGTTTATTATCATAGCTTTTATTTAATTTTAGGTATCATAGGGTATTATAAAAAATTATTCTGTATTGACTAGTTATGACATTTGACAGTGTTTATGGGGCCTAATGACCTCACTGTTTGTTCATCATTAATAAAGATAAACTGCTACAATTAGTGAGGACACGATTTATTCTCTTACTGCTCCGTGAAGGTGATAAGTGAAGCGGAACTAACCAGCCTGAGTCGGAGCACTTGGACGGAACTATTAAAGCGATGCACCATCCAAAATAAGCGAGCATGGCGTCGGGTCATTTGTGCAAACTGCACAGTCTCCTAACAAGACTGTCCAACGGCAGCACGCTGCGATGTGTTCAGAGTAAGTTTTCTGGTTTTTTTATTTTAATCTTTTTGTTAAAGTTTTATTCCGTTTACGGGTTCAGACACAAAGATGGCGGCGCTGGAAGCTAACTGGAGCTAACAAGAGCTAACCTTGACAGCAGCTTCAGTGTCTGAACTGTGTTAACCTGCCAGCATTCAATGTGTTTTCACTGTCAAAGACATGTTTTCTGTGCCGGGGGAAAAAAATAAACCCTTAAGATCCAGATTCATAGTGTAGTAGAGTGTAGCTTCTTTCGTTTAATATACAGCCCCCTTAGAAAACAGTTGAATCTCATAACAGCTTAGTACAGAAATGCATTTATAATATTGTCCTCTGATACATAAACACTAATTAAAGCCAGGATAATAAATTTAATGTATCTACATATTAACACTAAAGTTAAAATCATCAATAAATAAAGCCAGAGTTTAGATAAAAGTAGAACCAGCATAGACAAAACAGAATTATTAAATAATTCAGGTTATTGAACACATATCAAATATTGATAAAATGATGTTTTAAGTAGAGATTTAAAAGACAGTAAAGATGTTGTAATGTGTTGCAATCAGAAGTAAAAAAGAACAGTAGTTAAGAGCAGAAAGAAAACTACAAAACACCTTAACACAGAGGGAAGCTTTGACAGAAGGTCTTTAATGTGATGCTGACTTCTACAACTGTAAAAACCTGCTGAAGAACAAAATCACCACCAGTAACACCAACTTTAAAAGAAAGAACTCAAATTAAAAAAATCAATCATGAATAAATGGAATAGAGTAAAGTGACTGTAATGAAATATTACGATTTTAAGCTACAATTTGGGTATTTTTTTCTGATGACGTCACACAGGACCGTCTTATACAGTTTCTTTCTCTGATGCGTAGTTGATATCTTACAAATCATGTTGCATATATTATATCTGTGTTTCTTATGTGTGGTTTTCTGTTGCAGCTTGTTTGGTGCCGGTACGACAGAAGTCCAGCATTCCTTCACTTGATGATGCTAACTGGTATGTTAACCATTATATCAGTTTACACTCAAGATATGTGAAAAGGCACCTTTATTGTATGACTGTTTTTCTAAAAACAAACATCTAATTTCTTCAAATAATTAATAAAGTTATTGTACTTGTTGACAGAAGAGAAATAGTACTGGCTTGGAGGCCTTTTAAGCTTAAAGGTGGCAGATTGTGCAGAAAGAGCTGCAAAGTGGTCACCAATACTTAGAGACTTAGAGACGAGAAATTTTGTCAATGAAGTTTGATCGTATAAATGCCCCTCTGGAATCACCTGTTAGTATAATGTGGGAGCTTTATCATTTATCTGAGAAGAATAATGTGCTGTCCTCATGTTTTAAAGTAGTACTTTATTAGAAAAGCTATGTTGTGACCTGGACACTAACCTTCTGATCTCTTGCATTTAGTAATGTGGAAATTGGTGTGACTTCAGACGGGAAAACCATCGTGTGCTACCATCCCGCTGCCGACATTCCCTATGAGCTCACTCAGGTAAGAGAGTGTTTCTGGTCTCAAAGAGCAAGTGTCCATCAGAGTTTTTTTTACTGAAATCAACCACATGTATGCATACAGGACTCAGACAAGAGCCAAAAGTATAAAGCCAAACTCCATCTTGTAGGTAGTTCTGTTTCTTCTAACCCTCCCAGCAGGAACAATGGTGGGGGTCAGTCTTTCGGCGTTTTGCCAAACTGTTTGGATAGTTTTGTTCACTGATGGCAAAATGTCTTTTCACATAATTATGGGGTCTAGTTTTTGCTCTTCTTCTCTCAAAGTATAATCTCTGATTTACATCGACAAGAGAAAGAAGACCAGATCTTCTCTGCTCACTAAACTCAAGCTGGTTTCCTAACACAAACTAAGAATGAATCAGAGACAAACCTTCAAATGAAATTGCTCACAGTTAATTTAAAATACAGAATTTCCATCACACATCCCATAATAAGCAATAAAAATTGCTGCAGGATTGCACAGAAACATTGCATAATCACAAAGTGGGGAGATGTGTTGGATCAAACCTCACTTTTTAAAAAAATCTTTGCAGCCTATAGACCGACCGGACCCCGTGAACAACGTAGCCGAGACCCACGACCAGGTTTTAAAGGCCCACCTCAGCAAGGAGGTGCTGAAGGACAAACAGGGACCCACTATAGAGGAGCTGAGCAAGATGTTCTTCACCACAAAACACCGGTTTTATCCAAAAGGACAGTAAGTACACAAATAACACACACGTTGGTCAAGGCCTTCGATACCTCTTTGTCAGGACATTTTTCATATTTATTTTTTGTAGTAGTCTCCTGTTACTCATAAATCACGACTGTACCTTGCATTTCCCATCAGTCCAGTCCAGCTGGTTCATGCTGAAGATGATTTGCATTGTGCAGAAAGTGACAGAACAGCTGAGAATATTTGGACTTTACTTGACCAAGTTGTTGGTATAGTTGACATTTGATCTGACATGCTGGAGGTCAGAAATGAAAAGTGGAAGAGAATTTTCTTCTCAAATCAAATTTGTAGCAAATACACTAATTCTCAAATCTAAGGACTGATTCAGTCAGATCAGCACAGTGAACAAACACCACCGATGATGACAACACAACAACTTCTAGTTTTTTTGATGATATCAATGAGAAGCAGTGTAAAAGAACTGAAAGACAAATATTTTGGCTCATTAAAATTCCATCTCTGTATATTGATCACGAATATTTTCCCTGGTTACAGGTATCACAGGAGACGCATTAAGACGAACCCTCCAAAGGACCGATAGTCGAAGTTACCAAACTGCGAATAATGTGTGTTTTCTTGTCACAATAAAATAGAACTGTTAAATGTTAAGTCTGTTGTCACGTGTTTTTGTGTCAGTGCTGCTACGGTCGGACCAGAGGTTGGCTTGAAAAGCATACAAGCATTTTCTGGTGTGATGCTGTTTATACTCACTCCAGTACATTTAGAAACAAGTTTAACAAATATACAACACTAGACTGGGAGCAGTACACCATATTTGCTTCTTTACAGTTTTCCCAAAATATGCTTTCAGGAGAAGTGGATACGTTATAATTGCAATCAGTGCAAGTTAAATGCATCCTCATCTCAGAAGTACAGTGAAGAAAAACTGCCAAATTAGAATTGAAAAGTCCACCAAAAAAAAGAACAGTTTAGAAGTCCAGATATTGCAGCCAATCACCTC